TATTATTATAATTAATATTTAAAATTTTAAATTTTCCGCCAAAACCAAAATTGCCCAACATGGCCGATTTTCAAGACTACCAACGTCAAAATAAATAAAATAACTAAAAAGATATTGAAGCGATTTTATCGTAATTTTAATTAATTCACGGTTTTAATACCATTAATTCCCTGATTTATCAATATTAATTACGGGATTTGTTAATAAATATGGTATTATAAAGCAATAATTTAATATTAGTTGACGTTTTAGGTTATGTTGTTATTTGAGGTTATAAACAAGAAATATGTTTAATTAACTACATTACAACCTAAGTCAAAAACGAGAAAGAGAAGTTGAGTCATAATTGAAGCAAGAATTGAACTAACAATACGATCGGAATAAAATTTATTGGTGTTTATAAACGTAGAAAAGAAGGAGAAAATGAATGCTTACTACATCAAGGGCGTTTATGGTAGTATCGTCTCTAGAAGCAGCATTCGCCCCGTCTTCAGGACAACCACCATCGCACATCCCCGCGAATGCAGCCATGGATCGAGCAGCTCTTAAGTACATCAGCAGATCGGTGTCGAGAGTCATCGCAGGAATCCATCGTAGTTCTTCGCGCGTCCGACTGAATTCCGGATCGGGGGACAGTTGCTCCGGTGGGATTGCCGGCCTGTAATCCGGCAATCGTGCCTGTAAATCCAAATCGAACACTTGAAATTTCTTTCAAACCGAACAAATTTAATTGTTTAATTAGATTGAACACTTACAGACATTCTCGTTATTTAAGCTCGAAATTAAATGATGAAATTGATTTGATAGAAAGGTGAGTTGTGATGAAACACCAATAAATTTTTAAACTGAGCCTTTTTTCTATTTGCGATTATGTTGGAAATATAAATATGCGGATCGTTTAGAATTTAGAGTATTTAAGCAGCCATTTGCAACCGAATTCCTTTAGTTAATTACACCAATTCTTTATCGTTACGTTTTTAAATGAATGAAAAACAACAAACTTTTAAAAAGTTAGGTTAGATTCGGTTAAGTTTGGTTAGGTTTAATTTTTAGGTTAATGACATCTGTCATTCCGCGATGAGTTGCTTAGTTACGCGGTTGCTATAATTACCATGCATATCCGCCATTGTGGTTGCTAATCCAATTAGGATGAATGAATGAATGGAGGATATTATTAGTGGAGGGGATGCAATGACGTCACATTTTAGCGGGAAAATTGATTCATTTAAATATTTTAAATCCGTCATTTTTTTGTTAACATCCAGATTTCGAAAAATAAAAAAACTTTCGTAGAAAATGAATTAAGTCGGTGTAAAAAAACTGGTAGAATAAAGAAGTTTTTCAAGAAGATTCAAAAATATTTGTATTCGGGAAAAATTGATTGGTGTGAATCAAAATGGTTCTAATCGACTACTAATTCCTCCAAGATACTTAGAGAGAATGGCAGAATAAAGAAAAATTATTTTGTTACTTTTTGACAATGTCACAAATATATAAGAAATTAAAAAATGATTCGAAATGACTTCTAATCCACTAAAAACATCTCTCTGATACTTAACTAGGATGATAAAATCAAAAAAAAAATGATTTTGATGCTTTTTGAAACCGCTCCAAAAATACATAGAGGCAAGAAAAGGTAAATGGTGTGTGTCAAAATGATTCAAACCGACTTAAACATCATTTATTTGAGTAAACAAAAAAAATTGAACCATTTTGACAAACACCAATCAAGTTTTTCTATTTCCTGATATCTTTGAAACCCGTACTGTTCAGAGGGAAATTAAAATTACGTCATTTTGAAAAATGTTATTAATAAAAGTTGTTTGTAATTTAATTCTAAACGAATATTGTTTATAAAAAAATTCGATTCGATCAATAATTATTGAGATAACCTCAAAAATGTCAATTTGTGTTAGTATAGAGCGCCACCTGGTGGATTAATTAAAATTTTTTATTAAAATAATCGATTCTAAATTGCATTTTAAACAAATGTTATATGAAACATTTTTCGATAAAAACAATAATAACTTTGAAATGTCTTAAATTGCATTTGACATTAAAAGTAACGTACTATTCAGAAGGAAATTAAAATTACGTCATTTTGAAAAATGTTATTAATAAAAGTTGTTTGTAATTTAATTCTAAACGAATATTGTTTATAAAAAATTTCGATTCGATCACTAATTATTGAGATAACCTCAAAAATGTCAATTTGTGTTAGTATAGAGCGCCACCTNATTACGGGATTTGTTAATAAATATGGTATTATAAAGCAATAATTTAATATTAGTTGACGTTTTAGGTTATGTTGTTATTTGAGGTTATAAACAAGTAATATTTTTAATTAACTACGTTATAACCTAAATCAAAAACATTGTTCGAAACATTTTTCGATAAAAACAATAATAACTTTGAAATGTCTTAAATTGCATTTGACATTAAAAGTAAGGTACTATTCAGAGGGAAATTAAAGTTACGTCATTTTGAAAAATGTTATTAATAAAAGTTGTTTGTAATTTAATTCTAAACGAATTTTGTTTATAAAAAAATTCGTTTCAACCAATAATTATTGAGATAACCTCAAAATGTCAATTTGTGTTAATGTAGAGCGCCACCTGGTAGATTAATCAAAAATTTTTATTAAAATAATCGATTCTAAATCGAATTTTGAACAAATATTATTCGAAACATTTTTCGATAAAAGCAATAATAACTTTGAAATGTCTTAAATTGCATTGACATTAANTTTTATCATAATTTTAATTAATTCACGGTTTTAATACCATTAATTCCCGGATTTATCAATATTAATTACAGGATTTGTTAATAAATATGGTATTATAAAGCAATAATTTAATATTAGGTGACGTTTTAGGTTATGTTGTTATTTGAGGTTATAAACAAGTAATATTTTTAATTAACTACATTATAACCTAAATCAAAAACGAGAAAGAGAAATTGAGTCATAAATGAATCAAGAACCTCACTTAGAATTGAACTAAAATCGGAATAAAATTGATTGGTGTTTATAAACGTACGAAAGAAGTACAAAATGAATGCTTACTACACTACATCAAATTACGTCATTTTGAAAAATGTTATTAATAAAAGTTGTTTGTAATTTAATTCTAAACGAATATTGTTTATAACAAATTTCGATTCGATCACTAATTATTGAGATAACCTCAAAAATGTCAATTTACGTTATTGTAGGGCGCCACCTGGTTAATTTATCAAAAATTTTTATTAAAATAATCGATTCTAAATTGCATTTTAAACAAATATTATTTGAAACATTTTTCGATAAAAACAATAATAACTTTGAAATGTCTTAAATTGCATTTACATTAAAATTACCATACTATTCAGAGGGAAATTAAAATTACGTCATTTTGAAAAATGTTATTAATAAAAGTTGTTTGTAATTTAATTGTAAACGAATATTGTTAATAAAAAATTTTGATTCGATCAATAATTATTGAGATAATCTCAAAAATGTCAATTTGTGTTGGTGTAGAGCGCCACCTGGTGGATTTATCAAATTTTTTTATTAAAATAATCGATTCTAAATCACATTTTAAACAAATGTTACTTGAAACATTTTTCGATATAAACAATAATAACTTTGAAATGTCTTAAATTGCATTGACATTAAATACACTGTACTATTCAGAGGGAAATTAAAATTACGTCATTTTGAAAAATGTTATTAATAAAAGTTGTTTGTAATTAAATTCTAAATGAAAATTGTTTATAAAAAATTTGGATTCGATCAATAATTATTGAGATAACCTCAAAAATATCAATTTGTATTAGTGTAGAGCGCCACCTGGTGGATTAATCAAAATTTTTTATTAAAATAATCGATTCTAAATCGAATTTTAAACAAATATTATTCGAAACATTTTTTGATAAAAACAATAATAACTTTGAAATGTCTTAAATTGCATTTGACATTAAAAGTAACGTACTATTCAGAGGGAAATTAAAATTACGTCATTTTGAAAAATGTTATTAATAAAAGTTGTTTGTAATTTAATTCTAAACGAATATTGTTTATAAAAAATTTCGATTCGATCAATAATTATTGAGATAACCTCAAAAATGTCAATTTGTATTGGTGTAGAGCGCCACCTGGTGGATTAATTAAATTTTTTTATTAAAATAATCGATTCTAAATCGAATTTTAAAGAAATGTTATTTGAAACATTTTTCGATAAAAACAATAATAACTTTGAAATGTCTTAAATTGCATTTGACATTAAAAGTAACGTACTATTCAGAGGGAAATTCAAATTACGTCATTTTGAAAAATGTTATTAACAAAAGTTGTTTGTAATTTAATTCTAAACGAATATTGTTAATAAAAAATTTTGATTCGATCAATAATTATTGAGATAACCTCAAAAATATCAATTTGTATTAGTGTAGAGCGCCACCTGGTGGATTAATCAAAATTTTTTATTAAAATAATCGATTCCAAATCGTATTTTNTAAAGTTACGTCATTTTGAAAAATTTTATTAATAAAAGTTGTTTGTAATATAATTGTAAACGAATATTGTTAATAAAAAATTTCGATTCGATCAATAATTATTGAGATAACCTCAAAAATGTCAATTTGTGTTAGTGTAGAGCGCCACCTGGTGGATTTATCAAAAATTTTTATTAAAATAATCGATTCTAAATTGCATTTTAAACAAAGGTTATTTGAAACATTTTTCGATAAAAACAATAATTACTTTGAAATGTCTTAAATTGCATTTGACATTAAAAGTAACGTACTATTCAGAGGGAAATTCAAATTACGTCATTTTGAAAAATGTTATTAACAATAAAAGTTGTTTGTAATTTAATTCTAAACGAATATTGTTAATAAAAAATTTCGATTCGATCAATAATTATTGAGATAACCTCAAAAATGTCAATTTGTATTAGTGTAGACCGCTACCTGGTAGATTAATCAAAAATTTTTATTAAAATAATCGATTCTAAATCGAATTTTGAACAAATATTATTCGAAACATTTTTTGATAAAAACAATAATAACTTTGAAATGTCTTAAATTGTATTTGACATTAAAAGTAACGTACTATTCAGAGGGAAATTCAAATTACGTCATTTTGAAAAATGTTATCAACAAAAGTTGTTTGTAATTTAATTCTAAACGAATATTGTTAATAAAAAATTTTGATTCGATCAATAATTATTGAGATAACCTCAAAAATGTCAATTTGTATTGGTGTAGAGCGCCACCTGGTTGATTTATCAAAATATTTTATTAAAATAATCGATTCTAAATCGCTTTATAAGCAAATATTATTTGAAACATTTTTCGACAAAAACAATAATAACTTTGAAATGTCATAAACTGCATTGACATTAAAGTTACCGTACTGTTCAGAGGGAAATTAAAATTACGTCATTTCGAAAAATGTTATTAATAAAAGTTGTTTGTAATTTAATTCTAAACGAATATTGTTTATAAAAAATTTCGATTCGATCACTAATTATTGAGATAACCTCAAAAATGTCAATTTACGTTAGTGTAGGGCGCCACCTGGTTAATTTATCAAAAATTTTTATTAAAATAATCGATTCTAAATTGCATTTTAAACAAATATTATTCGAAACATTTTTCAATAAAAACAATAATAACTTTGAAATGTCTTAAAATGCATTTGACATTAAAAGTAACGTACTATTCAGAGGGAAATTAAAATTACGTCATTTTGAAAAATGTTATTAATAAAAATTCTTTGTAATTTTATTCTAAGCGAATATTGTTTATAAAAAATTTCGATTCGATCACTAATTATTGAGATAACCTTAAAAATGTCAATTTGTGTTAGTGTAGAGCGCCACCTGGTGGATTTATCAAATTTTTTTATTAAAATAATCGATTCTAAATTGCATTTTAAACAAATGTTATTTGAAAAATTTTTTGATAAAAACAATAATAACTTTGAAATGTCTTAAATTGCATTTGACATTAAAAGTAACGTACTATTCAGAGGGAAATTAAAGTTACGTCATTTTGAAAAATGTTATTAATAAAAATTGTTTGTAATTTAATTCTAGACAAATATTGTTTATAAAAAATTTCGATTCGATCAATAATTATTGAGATAACCTCAAAAATATCAATTTGTGTTAATGTAGAGCGCCACCTGGTGGATTTATCAAAAATTTTTATTAAAATAATCGATTCTAAATTGCATTTTGAACAAATTTTATTCGAAACATTTTTCGATAAAAACAATAATAACTTTGAAATGTCTTAAATTGCATTTGACATTAAAAGTAACGTACTATTCAGAGGGAAATTAAAATTACGTCATTTTGAAAAATGTTATTAATAAAAATTGTTTGTAATTTAATTCAAAACGAATATTGTTTATAAAAAATTTGGATTCGATCAATAATTATTGAGATAACCTCAAAAATATCAATTTGTGTTAATGTAGAGCGCCACCTGGTGGATTTATCAAAAATTGTTATTAAAATAATCGATTCTAAATCGCATTATGAACAAATATTATTTGAAATATTTTTTGATAAAAACCAGAATAACTTTGAAATTTCTTAAATTGCATTTGACATTAAAAGTAACGTACTATTCAGAGGGAAATTAAAATTACGTCATTTTGAAAAATGTTATTAATAAAAGTTGTTTGTAATTTAATTCTAAACGAATATTGTTCATAAAAAATTTCGATTCGATCACTAATTATTGAGATAACCTCAAAAATGTCAATTTGTGTTGGTGTAGAGCGCCACCTGGTTGATTTATCAAAATTTTTTACTAAAATAATCGATTCCAAATCAAATTTTAAACAAACATTATTTGAAACATTTTTCGATAAACACAATAATAACTTTGAAATGTCTTAAATTGTATTGACATTAAAGTTACCGTACTGTTCAGAGGGAAATTAAAATTACGTCATTTTGAAAAATGTTATTAATAAAAATTGTTTGTAATTTAATTCTAGACAAATATTGTTTATAAAAAATTTCGATTCGATCAATAATTATTGAGATAACCTCAAAAATATCAATTTGTGTTAATGTAGAGCGCCACCTGGTGGATTTATCAAAAATTTTTATTAAAATAATCGATTCTAAATTGCATTTTAAACAAATATTATTTGAAACATTTTTCGATAAAAACAATAATAACTTAAATTGCATTGACATTAAAATTACCGTACTGTTCAGAGGGAAATTAAAATTACGTCATGTTGAAAAATGTAAGTTTTTAAATTAAATCATTTAATTTTTAATAAAAACATTATTATATTCTAATATTTATAATTAATATTTTAAATTTTCCGCCAAAACCAAAATTGCCCAACATGGCCGATTTTCAAGACTACCAACGTCAAAATAAATAAAATAACTAAAAAGATATTGAAACGATTTTATCGTAATTTTAATTAATTCACGATTNGGAAATTAAAATTACGTCATTTTGAAAAATGTTATTAATAAAAGTTGTTTGTAATTTAATTCTAAACGAATATTGTTCATAAAAAATTTCGATTCGATCACTAATTATTGAGATAACCTCAAAAATGTCAATTTGTGTTGGTGTAGAGCGCCACCTGGTTGATTTATCAAAATTTTTTACTAAAATAATCGATTCCAAATCAAATTTTAAACAAACATTATTTGAAACATTTTTCGATAAACACAATAATAACTTTGAAATGTCTTAAATTGTATTGACATTAAAAGTTACCGTACTGTTCAGAGGGAAATTAAAATTACGTAATTTTGAAAAATATTATTAATAAAAGTTGTTTGTAATTTAATTCTAAGCAAATATTGTTTATAAAAAATTTTGATTCGATCAATAATTATTAAGATAACCTCAAAAATGTTAATTTGCATTAGTGTAGAGCGCCACCTGGTTGATTTATCAAAAAATTTTATTAAAATAATCGATTCCAAATCAAATTTTAAACAAATATTATTTGAAACATTTTTCGATAAAAACAATAATAACTTTGAAATGTCTTAAATTGTATTGACATTAAAGTTACCGTACTGTTCAGAGGGAAATTAAAATTACGTCATTTTGAAAAATGATATTAATAAAAATTGTTTGTAATTTAATTCTAGACAAATACTGTTTATAAAAAATTTCGATTCGATCAATAATTATTGAGATAACCTCAAAAATGTCAATTTGTGTTAGTGTAGAGCGCCACCTGGTTGATTTATCAAAATTTTTTATTAATATAATCGATTCTAAATCGCATTATAAACAAATATTATTTGAAACATTTTTGATTTTTTGACATTAAAAGTAACGTACTATTCAGAGGGAAATTAAAATTACGTCATTTTGAAAAATGTTATTAATAAAAATTGTTTGTAATTTAATTCTAGACAAATATTGTTTATAAAAAATTTCGATTCGATCAATAATTATTGAGATAACCTCAAAAATAACTTTGAAATGTCTTAAATTGCATTGACATTTAACGTACTATTCAGAGGGAAATTAAAATTGTTTTATTTCGAAAAATGTTGGATTATACAGTGATTTCTAATATAACGAAAAAGAGGCAATAAAGAAAGACGACTTCGAGGTCTCCGTGTTCGCCAAACCGTCACGCCACTTACGTCGAATTTCCCACCCCGATTGGGTTCTTTTACGGCCCCCGGTTCACGTCATCCCAGCTCAACCATTGTTTACAACGGCCGTTTTGTCGCTCGTAACTCTTTAACTTTACGGATAAGTGGGCGGTAAAAACAATCCAACCTCAACGAAAAAATGTCAACGTCAAAATCATTTCATATTTATCAACAAAGTAATTCGTTCAAAGCTAATTAACAGAATTAATAAGTTTTTGGTTGGGAATTTTCTTTTCGAATTAAACGAGCAATCCGTAAAGCGGACACCTCCTCTTTAATTTTTAAAGCCCGCGCTTAGGGGGTTGTGGGGAGGTGGGGGACGACGACAAGAAGAGGTGGAGGACGAGGTTTTTCGCCCTTATCGATTTTCGCCCCCTTTTCTTCCCACTTATCGTGCAGTTAGCACGGATTCGGCGCCCCCCTATCGGCACAGATTACAACTAATCCCAGCCGCAGAAGCGGAGGGAACATTATCGCACACCAAATCTAAATGATTACTGGCATTATAACAATTATAATAATATAACACCCAGTAGATAATCCCAAAGATAATTGTTTTTAAAAAAAGTGGACTCACGTAAATATCTTTAGCTTGATTCCCGGATCCGACCCTAATCTCCGACTGAGAACTGGCCATTTCTTGCACCCCCGAAACCTGTAAAACAGCGATAAAAAAAAAATAAAGATTAGACGCCGTCTCATTGTTTGTCAAAGACTTAAACACGTTAATTTGATACGTTTATGTTTGTTGTAAATATTTATCTATTACAAAAACAAATTAAATAACGAGGAAAGAAACGTGAAAATCTAAATAAATAATCGCGATGACGTCATAACAAAAAATAACTAGATTGCGCAAAAAATTATAAACACCCTGTATAACGTCAACAAATTATGTCAAATTTTTTTATACAAAAACGACGATAAAAACATTCTCAAAACAGAGACACACAGAAAACTACACAAATCCTATTCCGCGGACACATAAATATTTATGTGTACCTTTCCAAACCGCAACTAGCCGCGTATAAAATCGTCGTAAAATGAAAAGAAAAAGAACCGAACCCGGTCCATAAACCTATATCAAAAAAAAAAAAGAAAGAACGAAACCGATTAGAATCAAATCTAACGATCATAAAACGATTCGAAAATCGCATTAAAACTCATTGATATCTAATAACAACGAAAAAAATTAAAGTACTTAAGTAGACCACTTACCTTTACTTTTTTATCAACACAATAGGCAGGCTACATGCTAAAGATACTTTTGTATACACAATTCGTAACGGGGTAGATTAAAAAAACGCGGCCGAAACCGACCCGGGAATCGCGTTCCGGTACCGGAACTCGTCGTGTTTCACCACCGGAACGATCACCCACACTTTTCCGGGACGAAAATCGCACCGAAAACACCGAAAAACCAAACAGTTTATTGCATATATTGATCTACGACGCCATTTTCTCTCTATCGAGGTTCGTTTGCAACACCTGCTCGACTACGACGACATCTACAACGCGAATTTTATTACATTTTTTACAAATCTATTATTATTCGTAAAAATATGCTTTTAATAAACGCGTTTATTCGATTAAATTGATTATTTAGAAGTAAATGTTTATAATAAATTCAAAATAATCAAAATTCGGTGGTTTAGGGCGACATCTAACGGTGGGTTGTCAAATTATAAACGTCAAAATCGAATTTATATTTAAAATATTAATTAAATAATTTAAATTAATTTTATAATATTAACGTTTAGAAAATTTTTGTTATTTTTTAATAAATAGATTTTGTTTTATTCGAATACACGCGCGGATTTCTTAATTCGCGGTGTCTATCTGTAATTTTCTTTTTACTACCGTATGGTATTAATAGATGTCGCTACAATTTTTAATTTAATCCGAAATAAATAATTTTAATTATAGAAATACATAAATTGCGGTGATGATAACCTTGCGGTGTTTAGATTGGTAATGGAAAAAATTAAGTGTCGTTATTGTAAGTTTTTTAACAAAAATTTTAATTAATTTAATTTTTGAACATAATTGATTACTTACCTTAATCAAATTATGATTAATTAACCAAAATTATTAATCCTTTAACTTTATTTATGCTTTAAAATAATTAACTTTAAAACATAACCTTTTTTGTTTGACAGTTTCGTAGTTATTACCAACCGAAATAATCGAATTTTTAACTATTTGTCTCGGAATAAATTAAAATTATTTATTTCTTCACTTTTATATCACCTAAATTTGTTTTTAAATCACAAAAAAAAAATTGTTAATTGTAAAAAAAATTATAAGAATAACCTTGAGAGACTTAGGTTGGTATTAAATGTCACTAATTCGATTAAATATTTATAAATCTACTTAAAATTAAATCAAATTTTTTGACATTTCATTTTTGACAGTTCTTTGATAATATTATTAAAATAGAATAAATTTATTATTATTTGTTTATTGAGGAAATTTGATTTAAATCGCAAAAAAAATTGTTAATTGTAAAAAAAATTATAAGAATAACCTTGAGAGACTTAGGTTGGTATTAAATGTCACTAATTCGATTAAATATTTATAAATCTACTTAAAATTAAATCAAATTTTTTGACATTTCATTTTTGACAGTTCTTTGATAATATTAAAAAAGAATAAATTTATTATTAACAAAATGAAAACTACACTAAATTTTGATTAGTTTAAGTCCAAAGATCTAAAGGAAACGATCGTCAAATGTTTTTCTGTTTGTCATTAATAAAACTGTCATAATTTTTTTGTTTTTAAAGATAACCTCACCGAGTTTGGTATCATTTTAAAGGATTTTTCATTTTCTTTTCACTGATCATAAAGTTACAATTAAAGTTTCAACAATTTTGGTTTTTTGCATTCGAATTTAGAATCCTATTTCATTTTAAAAATTTCTCGTTTCTGTCAAAGACAAAACTGTCAATGTCATTTTGTCTTTCTTGTCACGGAAATAAAAAACACAAAAATTAAGGTTGGTATTAATATTTAAAAATTAAATTGCTACCTTCATTGTTGCTAACTTAGGGTTTAATGTTTTTAATTCTATTTTAAAGGTTTCAGAACGTTCTTAAATTTAACATTTGCATTTTTACGTGACATGACAATTATTCGTTAGTTTTTTTCCTTTTAGAATGAATATCTATTCTGTCAAGGAACAACGCCATCTATTGGTCCAAAGCGGCTGTCACTACTAGACTTAATTAATTTAAAATTTTAAAGTCTAAAATTAAAGTTTACATTAATTCTGATTCCTTATTCAGATTAATTCGTAAATTTAAACATTTTTTGTTTAATATTATCGTAATTAAATCGATTTTAATTAATTTTTCGATTTGTTTCTAATTTCAGGTTATTTATAACCTACAAAAAAATTTTGCGCTCCAATCAACTAATTGCATTCTTTCTACGTTCTATTTTTGCTTCAAACTATTTTTTTTTTCATAAATTATATTAAAAAGGAGTTTGTTTAATCGTTGTGATAACGAAACGAATCTACGTACGTCCCGAATAAAGTGCGAGAAGTTCACGAAATCTTCTAGATAATGCAGAGTCTCCGTACCAACAACATAAATTTAGAGGTGACCTTTCCTGTAAGGCAGTGCATGGGAGCGAGTGAAAGGCGACGGAGCCGGTTCCACGATTTTTTAACTTTAACCTGAACCAAAAAAATTAAAATCAGTTCCTCATCCATCGATTCTCCACAAAAATCGCCAATATTACTTAAGGAAATCATAAAAGTAAGTAAAAAAACTAACTTTTCTTTCAAAAAGTTGATTTAAATTTATTATTTTAGGTTATTTTTTGAAAAATGATTAAAGAAAGATCTTCAACGCGGCGATTTTATCGCGGGGAAAGCTCCGCGAATCTTCTAGCTTGCTTAGATAGAGGCCTTACAGCTGAAGAGGAGAATCGATGGACTTTTGAAGTAGCTTGGGAGGTTGCAAATAAAGTTGGAGGGATTTACACCGTAATTCGATCAAAAGCTTACATTTCAACAGAAGAAATGGGGAATCAATATTGTTTAATCGGCCCATATAAAGAAGCTACAGCAAGAACTGAGGTTGAAGAAGGCCCTTTAGATCCCCCTGCTTTAAACGACGCTGTTAGTATTTTAAGAAGTTCAGGTTTCAAGGTAATTAATAAGATGTGGTTTTGTAATTTAATATTTTTGGTTTTGTAATCGAAAAATTAATTTTTTTTAGGTAATTACTGGGCGTTGGCTCGTCGATGGGAACCCACAATTAATTTTAATGGATATTAGCTCAGCCGCGTGGAAATTAGACGAGTACAAAACGGAATTATGGAATACGTGCAATATAGGGGTGCCCCACTTGGATGTAGAAACGAACGATGCTATTATTTTAGGTTTTATGGTCGCTGAGTTTATAGGCGAAGTAAAAAATTAATTAGAATTTACATATCGAGGCTTAAAATTAAATTTTTAGTTTAAAAAGATCATCGAATCCGGTTATGGAGACTTCCAACCGAAAATTGTGTCACATTTTCACGAGTGGCAGGCCGGAATTGGACTTATACTGTTAAGAACTCGCAAATTAAACGTTGCCACCTTGTTTACAACTCACGCTACACTTCTTGGAAGGTACCTTTGTGCTGGAAGCACCGATTTTTATAATAATTTAGATACTGTGAGTTTTTTTTTATTTTAATTGTAATTAATTAATTAATTAATTTTTATTTTAGTTTAATGTTGATGAAGAAGCAGGGAAAAGACAAATTTATCATCGATATTGTTTAGAAAGGGCGGCTACACATCTTTGTCATACTTTTACAACAGTTTCAGATATAACAGGTAATTAATTTGTTACATTAATTTATTTACCATCCTTGAACAAGCACATGTTTTCTTGTGCTCTGCTTTTAAAATCGTGTTTTAAAATCGTGTTTTGAAGCGAAACCATTCAGCTTTTATTCAAGAGAGCATGGTTAATTATTTGACGCTTTTGATAATTTATCCAAGAACGATTATATTATCATTTTGGGAGATTAAATTGCTCGTAAGAACATTAGTTATGCATCAAGAGTTTCTAATAGCCGTATCTGTATCTATTTGTCCTCTAAAGAGGCTAAAAATAATTTTATTATATCTCATGTCGGTATTACAGTTAACTGTAAATTTCTTTGTCCACAACTACCTTATCTTATAATATATTATATTATACCTTATAAATGAGTTTTCTAAATCAAAAGGGTAGTCACTTTTCACAGAGTGTAACAATAATCATTATTCACGGGTAATCAACTTGACTGACTTATAATAATTATTTCAAACGTCAAAGTTTAAAAAAACGTCAATTTAATTTAATTTTTTTATGACTTTCTCAAGGTTTGGCATTAAAAAACGTAAACAAATTTTTTTTTCCGTCGAACGTGTATATTTATGATTTATAAATGTATACAAAATTCATTAATGACACCTCTTAATAAACGATTTTCTATTAATAAACTAATAAACGATTTTAATGTGTCAAAAGTCAAAACGTATTATTGTAGTCGTACCGAATAGATATAGTGGTCGGTTGGGTCGGTATTACAGATGTCATTCGAGAATATTTACTAAATTGACTACTATATTAGTTCGGTCGGACTTTTTTAAAGTTTACCAATGACCAGTGATAAAAGTGGGTGATTTTCTCTATTTTGTTGAAAAGACAGTCGACGGAAAAATATTGTAACTAACTCGTATATTAAAATGCCTTTATTTTCCTATGATTAAACCATAAATTAATTAATTTTCGTAAAAAACATGACGTTTCATAAAATTGACGTTTAATTTTGACAAATTGTTGTGAAGTTGGTTACAGTTGGTAACATTGAATTTGTGTCACATTGACGTTTCGAAACTTTAGTCAAAAAATTTTTTAAAAAATAGCAGTGTATCATTATATGAGCATTAATGAGGGCTATTATTGACTAAGGAATTTCTAGCTGCCCCATTTTAAATAATAAACTCTGTTGCCAACCTTTATCGAATGCCTTGTTTATATCCAAGAACAAGGTCGCGGTTTTTCTGTGTTGGATTTTGTCTGCTTGAATGATGTTCGTGAGAACAATTAAAGGATGGACTGTGAATTGTTTAGGTCTGAAGACGAATTGGTGTATTTAGGGATATTGTTATTTATGAGATTAATAATTCTAAGCTTTCTAATTATTTCTATAGTCGTTAAAAACTGTCCAGAAGGTGTCTACTGATATCTATAATCTTCAAAAGCTGTCCAGAAGGTCTCTAATGATATCTACAGTTCTCAAAAATTATCCAGAAGCTTTCTAATTGTTTCTATAGTCATTAAAAATTGTCTACAAGGTGTCTAATGATACCTAGAGTTATCAAAAAGTGTCCAGAAGGTATTTAATGATATCTATAGTAGTCAAAAATTGTCCAGAAGGTGTCTACTGATATCCATAGTTTTCAAAAAGTGTCCAGAAGGTATTTAATGATTTCTATAGTAGTCAAAAATTGTCCAGAATCTTTCTAATTGTTTCTATAGTCGTTAAAAATTGCCCACAAGGTGTCTAATGATACCTAGAGTTATCAAAAAGTGTCCAAAAAGTATTTAATGATTTCTATAGTAGTCAAAAATTGTCCAGAAGCTTTTCAATTATTTCTGTAATCGTTAAAAACTGTCCAGAAGGTGTCTACTGATATCTATAATCTTCAAAAGCTGTCCGGAAGGTCTCTAATGATCTCAACAGTTCTCAAAAATTATCCACAAGCTTTCTAATTGATTCTATAGTCATTAAAAATTGTCCACAAGGTGTCTAATGATACCTAGAGTTATCAAAAAGTGTCCAGAAGGTATTTAATGATATCTATAGTAGTCAATAATTGTCCAGAAAGTGTCTACTGATATCCATAGTCTTCAAAAAGTGTCCAGAAGGTATTTAATGATTTCTATAGTAGTCAAAAATTGTCCAGAATCTTTCTAATTGTTTCTATAGTCGTTAAAAATTGCCCACAAGGTGTCTAATGATACCTAGAGTTATCAAAAAGTGTCCAGAAGGTATTTAATGATATCTATAGTAGTCAAAAATTGTCCAGAAGGTGTCTACTGGTATCCATAGTCTTCAAAAAGTGTCCAGAAGGTATTTAATGATTTCTATAGTAGTCAAAAATTGTCCAGAATCTTTCTAATTGTTTCTATAGTCGTTAAAAATTGCCCACAAGGTGTCTAATGATACCTAGAGTTATCAAAAAGTGTCCAAAAGGTATTTAATGATTTCTATAGTAGTCAAAAATTGTCCAGAAGCTTTCTAATTATTTCTATAGTCGTTAAAAATTGCCCACAAGGTGTCTAATGATACCTAGAGTTATCAAAAAGTGTCCAGAAGGTATTTAATGATATCTATAGTAGTCAAAAATTGTCCAGAAGGTGTCTACTGGTATCCATAGTCTTCAAAAAGTGTCCAGAAGGTATTTAATGATTTCTATAGTAGTCAAAAATTGTCCAGAATCTTTCTAATTGTTTCTATAGTCGTTAAAAATTGCCCACAAGGTGTCTAATGATACCTAGAGTTATCAAAAAGTGTCCAAAAGGTATTTAATGATTTCTATAGTAGTCAAAAATTGTCCAGAAGCTTTCTAATTATTTCTATAGTCGTTAAAAACTGTCCAGAAGGTGTCTACTGATATCTATAATCTTCAAAAGCTGTCCGGAAGGTCTCTAATGATCTCTACAGTTCTCAAAAATTATCCAGAAGCTTTCTAATTGTTTCTATAGTCATTAAAAATGGTCTACAAGGTGTCTAATGATACCTAGAGTTATCAAAAAGTGTCCAGAAGGTATTTAATGATATCTATAGTAGTCAAAAATTGTCCAGAAGGTGTCTACTGGTATCCATAGTCTTCAAAAAGTGTCCAGAAGGTATTTAATGATTTCTATAGTAGTCAAAAATTGTCCAGAATCTTTCTAATTGTTTCTATAGTCGTTAAAAATTGCCCACAAGGTGTCTAATGATACCTAGAGTTATCAAAAAGTGTCCAAAAGGTATTTAATGATTTCTATAGTAGTCAAAAATTGTCCAGAAGCTTTCTAATTATTTCTATAGTCGTTAAAAACTGTCCACAAGGTGCCTATTGATACCTAGAGTGATCAAAAAGTGTCCAGAAGGTATTTAATGATTTCTATAGTAGTCAAAAATTGTCCAGAAGCTTTCTAATTATATTTATAGTTGTTAAAAACTGTCCACAATGTGTCTAATGATACCTAGAGTTATTAAAAAGTGTCCAGAATGCATTTAATGATTTCTATAGTAGTCAAAAATTGTCCAGAAGCTTTCTAATTGTTACTATAGTCGTTAAAAACTGTCCAAAAGGTGTCGACTGATATCTATAGTCTTCAAAAAGTGTCCAGAAGGTCTCTGATGATCTCTATAGCAGTTAAAAATTATCCAGATGCTTTCTAATTGTTTCTATAGTCATCAAAAATTGTCCACAAGGTGTCTAATGATACCTAGAGTTAACAAAAGGTGTCCTGAAGGTCTCTAATGACCTCTATAATAGTCAAAAATTATCCAGAAGCTCTCTCAGTCGTTTGAAACTGTCCAGAAGGTATCTACTGATATCTGTAGTGTTCAAAAAATGTCCAGAAGGTATTCAATGATTTCTATAGTAGTCAAAAATTGACCAGAAGCTTTCTAATTGTTTCTATAGTCGTTAAAAACTGTCCAAGAGGTGCCTACGGATATCTATAGTCTTCAAAAAGTGTCCAGAAGGTCTCTAATGATTTCTATAATAGTCAAACATTATTCAGAATTTTTCTTATTGTATCTATAGTCGTTAAAATCTGTCCACAAGGTGGCTAATGATATCTATAGTCAAAAGGTGTCCAAAAGGTATTTAATGAGTTTTATAGTAGTCAAAAATTGTTCATAAGCTCTCTAATTATTTCTATAGTTGTTAAAAACTATCCAGAAGGTGTCTAATGATACCTAGAGTTATCAAAAAGTGTCCAGAAGGTATTTAATGATTTCTATAGTAATCAAGAATTGTCCAGAAGGTTTCTAATCATTTCTATAGTCGTTCAAAACTGTCCAGAAGGTGTCTACTGATATCTATAGTCTTCAAAAGGTGTCCAGAAAGTCTCTAATGATCTCTAAAGTAGTCAAAAATTATTCAGAAGCTTTCCAATTGTTTCTATAGCCTTTAAAAATTGTCCACAATGTGTTTAATGATACTTAGAGTTATCAAAAAGTGTCCAGAAACTATTTAATGATTTCCATAGTAGTCAAGAATTGTCCAGAAGCTTTCTAATTATTTCTATAGTCGTTAAAAACTGTCTACAAGATGTCTAATGACTTAGCAATGGTAGAATCAAGGTTCATCGTAAGTTTCATAAAGTAAATAAAAATCTTAAATACTTAAATTCCTTCTTCAGACACGACTAAGGGATTATACAAAAAAGAGGGAGAAACGTTAAACTATCTTTTATGAAAAAATATAATATATACTTTACCGTCAAGGTTTTATGAGGAAAACGTAATATTCACAAAATTCGTCATATTTTCGTGGACTAAAAACTTATTATTAGAAAAACACGTTATGTATATATGTCTAAGAACGTGTTTTATTCAGCACTCTTAACGTAAAAATTTTTTCTTAAAATACAATCACTTCAAAGGAACAAAAGTCAAGGAAGAATAATTCAACTATGTGTCGCAAAATTAAAATTAAAAAGAACTTGAGTCAAAATAAGCAACTGTAAGTTACTGGAAAATTATTTAGGGCTGGAGAGAGATGAGAATATAAAATTTATAGGACATTTCATTTATTAAATCTATTTAAATCCCAGAAAATGTCTAAAAGTATGGTTAAAATCTATCAAATCGTTAACTATGGAATCTTTATCCATTCTTTTACCTAGATGGATAAAATATTTCTCGTATAAGTCTAGCTCCTTGGACTTTTTATGTTTTTAATACTTCATTTATGTTTTTCTGAATCTAGATGTTTAAAGAATGCCGAGTTATGTTTCGTGAGGTGTTCTTTAACTCGATTTGACCAAGTCACTGTTAAAAATGCCTTGTATATCCTTTAAGTTAAAACCTTTAAGTTAATTTTCATCGTATTTATTTATTTTATGTGTCTAATGATATCCAGAAGTTTTCTAATTGTTTCTATAGTCATTAAAAATCGTCCACAAGGTGTCTAATGATACCTAGAGTTATCAAAAAATGTCCAGAAACTTTCTAATGATATCTATAGTAGTCAATTAATCTATTTTTTTAATATTTAAGGTTACGAAGCGGAACATTTACTTAAAAGAAAACCGGATCAAATAACCCCGAACGGATTAAACGTAAAAAAATTCAGCGCACTCCATGAATTCCAAAATCTCCATGCAATATCGAAAGAAAAAATCCACGAATTCGTGCGAGGTCACTTCTCGGGTCATTACGATTTCGACCTAGATAAAACCCTTTATTTTTTTATTGCCGGCCGATACGAATTTGGAAATAAAGGTGCCGATATTTTCATCGAAGCCCTTGCGCGATTAAATCACTACTTAAAATCATCGCATCCCGATGTAACGGTCGTTGCGTTTTTAATATTTCCAGCAAAAACTAATAATTTCAATGTGGAATCGTTACGAGGGCACGCAATAACTAAAGGGTTACGCGATACGATCAGTGATATCCAACAAACGATTGGGAAACGAATGTACGAGATTTGTTTAAGCGGGAGAGTCCCCGATTCGAAGGAGTTATTAGAAAAAGAGGAAATTGTGCGGCTAAAACGTTGTATTTATTCGCAACAAAGAGATGGGTTACCTCCAATTACAACCCATAACGTTGTCGATGATTGGAATGATCCCGTTTTAAACGCAATAAGGCGTTGTAATTTGGTTAATATGAGCCAAGATAGGGTTAAAATTGTGTTTCACCCCGAATTTTTAAGCTCGACTAATCCTTTGTTTGGGCTTGATTATGAAGAATTTGTTCGGGGGTGCCATTTGGGTGTATTTCCGAGTTATTACGAACCGTGGGGTTACACTCCAGCTGAATGTACCGTTATGGGAATCCCGAGTATCACCACAAATTTATCTGGGTTTGGTTGTTTCATGCAAGAACATATCGCTGATCCTATGTCTTACGGAATTTACGTCGTCGATCGGAGATTCATCTCATTAGAAGATTCGGTGCAACAATTAGCTAGGTTTATGTATGATTTTGCAAGGTTGAGTCGAAGACAAAGAATAATTCAACGAAATCGAACGGAGAGATTAAGCGATTTATTGGATTGGAGAAATTTGGGGATTTATTACCGACAAGCGAGGATGCAAGCGTTAAAAACTGTGTTCCCTGATTACCAAGGCGACGTACATCCGGGGATTGGAGCCATTAATTACCCAAAACCGATTTCGGAGCCTTCAAGTCCTAGTTCGAGTAGAGTTACAACTCCAGCTGCTTCTATCCATGGAAGTGATGATGAAACGGATTCGGTTGATGAGGAACAAGAGTTGGAGGAGTTAAGGGTTGGAAATGAATGAGCACAAAGGAGCAGTATTATTATTAATTTGAAACAAAAGGAGAGTGAGTGAAAAAAGGCGATATTGTTTTATGTTTGTTGTGTTTATATGAAACAAAGAAAGTTTATGAAGATTTTGATGATTAATAAATTAATCTTTAAATTTTTATGGTAAGTTCCAACTTTTTTTTTTTTAATTTTTCCTTTTTATTCAATTTAATTTGTCCTTAATTTCTCCTTAATCAAACATTTTTAGATTTAAGTACATTTTAGAATCATGGTGAGTTGTAAAAAATTGATTTTAAACTTATTCTATTCTATATTACTCTAAACTGAATTGAATATAATCCTATTTGGGTTGGATTATGAAGAATTTGATAAAGATTATTTAAAAAAAAAATAAATATGACCATAAATCATAATTAGTATATTAATTAGAGTATAATTATTATAAAAAGTAATTTTTGGTTAATAATTAATTAAAACTGGTTAAAAATTCCTTTATTTCCCACTTTCTTATTGGTACGCTTTTTTATGCATAGATGGCGCTTCAAGTAATCAAATTAATTTAAAATTTTAACATTTAAAAATTGAAATTTTATCTTAATTTCGTTGTATTACACCTAAATGACTTTTTAATTCGTAATTTAACAATTTTTGAGTTAAAATTATCTTTATTTGAGCGATTTTTATGATTTGTTTCTAATTTCAGGTTATATACATAACCTAACAAAATTTTGCACCTCTAATTTGTTTAATTATTTAAGTGAAAGAGTTCCTGATTCAAAAGAATTATTTATTAAATAACGAGATGGTTTTAAATACGATAAAGTGTTGTGATTTGGTTAATATGGACCAGGATAGGGTTAAAATTGCGTTTAACCCTCAATTTTTAAGCTCAAGTAATCCTTTATTTGGTCTGGTTTAAAGTTAAGATTAGTTTAAACTTATTCTATTCTATATTAATCTAAACACATTATTTGTTACAAACTGAGTTGCATATAATCTTATTTGGGTTGGATTATGAAGAATTTGATTAAGATTATTAAAAAAAAAATAAATTTGAAGTTATAAAAACAATAATGAGGTTAGGTTGGGAATTACTTTTTCGTAAACATCATAAATCATATTAATTAGAGTGTAATTATTTATAAAAAGTACTTTTTTGTTAATAATTAATTAAAACTGGTTAAAAATTCCTTTATTTCCCACTTTCGTATTGGTACGCTTTTTTATGTATAGATGGCGCATCAAGTAATCAAATTAATTTAAAATTTTAACATTTAAAAATTGAAACTTTATCTTAATTTCGTTATATTAGCGCCTAAATGACTTTTTAATTCGTAATTTAATAATTTTTGATTTTAAATTATCTTTATTTGAGCGATTTTTATAATTTGTTTCTAATTTCAGGTTATATACATAACCTAAAAAAGTTTTACACTTCTAATTTGTTTAATTATTTAAGTGGAAGAGTTCCTGATTCAAAAGAATTGTTTATTAAATTACGAGATGATTTTAAATACGATAAAGTGTTGTGATTTGATTAATATGGACTAGGAAATTGTTAAAATTGCGTTTCACCCTCAATTTTTAATTTCAACTAATCCTTTATTTGGACTGGTTTAAAGTTAAGGTTGGTTTAAACTTATTCTATTCTATATTAATCTAAACACATTATTTGTTACAAACTGAGTTGCATATAATCTTATTTGGGTTGGATTATGAAGAATTTGATTAAAATTATTAAAAAAAAAATAAATTTGAAGTTATAAAAACAATAATGAGGTTAGGTTGGGAATTATTTTTTCGTAAACATCATAAATCATATTAATTAGAGTGTAATTATTTATAAAAAGTACTTTTTTGTTAATAATTAATTAAAACTGGTTAAAAATTCCTTTATTTCCCACTTTCTTATTAGTATGCTTTTTTATGTATAGATGGCGCCACAAGTAATCAAATTAATTTAAAATTTTAACATTTAAAAATTAAAATTTTATCTTAATTTCATTGTATTAGCGCCTAAATGACTTTTTAATTCGTAATTTAACAATTTTTGATTTAAAATTATCCTTATTAGAGCGATTTTTATGATTTGTTTCTAATTTCAGGTTATATACATAACCTAAAAAAATTTTGCACGTCTAATTTGTTTAATTATTTAAGTGGAAGAGTTCCTGATTCAAAAGAATTATTTATTAAATAACGAGATGGTTTTAAATGCGATAAAGTGTTGTGATTTGATTAATATGGACCAGGATAGGGTTAAAATTGCGTTTAACCCTCAATTTTTAAGCTCAACTAATCCTTCATTTGGACTGGTTTAAAGTTAAGGTTGGTTTAAATTTATTCTATTCTATATTAATATAAACACATTATTTGTTACAAACTGAGTTGAATATAATCTTATTTGGGTTGGATTATGAAGAATTTGATTAAAATTATTAAAAAAAAAAATAAATTTGAAGTTATAAAAACAATAATTAGGTTAGGTTGGGAATTATTTTTTCGTAAACATCATAAATCATATTAATTAGAGTGTAATTACTTATAAAAAGTACTTTTTAGTTAATAATTAATTAAATCTGGTTAAAAATTCCTTTATTTCCCACTTACTTATTGGTACGCTTTTTTATGCATAGATGGCGCATCAAGTAATCAAATTAATTTAAAATTTTAATATTTAAAAATTGAAATTTTATCTTAATTTCATTGTATTAGCACCTAAATGACGTTTAAATTCATAATTTAACAATTTTTTAGTTAAAATTATCTTTATTTGAGCGATTTTTATAATTTGTTTCTAATTTCAGGTTATATACATAACCTAAAAAAATTTTGCTCCTCTAATTCGTTTAATTATTTAAGTGGAAGAGTTCCTGATTCAAAAGAATTATTTATTAAATAACGATATGGTTTTAAATACGATAAAGTGTTGTGATTTTGTTAATATGGACCAGGAAAGAGTTAAAATTGCGTTTCACCCTCAATTTTTAAGCTCAACTAATCTTTTATTTAGGCTGGTTTAAATCTAAGGTTGGTTTAAACTTATTCTATTCTATATTAATCTAAACACATTATTTGTTACAAACTGAGTTGAATATAATCTTATTTCGGTTGGATTATGAAGAATTTGATCAAAATTATTAAAAAAAAAATAAATTTGAAGTTATAAAAACAATAATGAGGTTAGGTTGGGAATTATTTTTTCGTAAACATCATAAATCATATTAATTAGAGTGTAATTACTTATAAAAAGTACTTTTTAGTTAATAATTAATTAAATCTGGTTAAAAATTCCTTTATTTCCCACTTACTTATTGGTACGCTTTTTTATGCATAGATGGCGCATCAAGTAATCAAATTAATTTAAAATTTTAATATTTAAAAATTGAAATTTTATCTTAATTTCATTGTATTAGCACCTAAATGACGTTTAAATTCATAATTTAACAATTTTTTAGTTAAAATTATCTTTATTTGAGCGATTTTTATAATTTGTTTCTAATTTCAGGTTATATACATAACCTAAAAAAATTTTGCTCCTCTAATTCGTTTAATTATTTAAGTGGAAGAGTTCCTGATTCAAAAGAATTATTTATTAAATAACGATATGGTTTTAAATACGATAAAGTGTTGTGATTTTGTTAATATGGACCAGGAAAGAGTTAAAATTGCGTTTCACCCTCAATTTTTAAGCTCAACTAATCTTTTATTTAGGCTGGTTTAAATCTAAGGTTGGTTTAAACTTATTCTATTCTATATTAATCTAAACACATTATTTGTTACAAACTGAGTTGAATATAATCTTATTTGGGTTGGATTATGAAGAATTTGATCAAAATTATTAAAAAAAAAATAAATTTGAAGTTATAAAAACAATAATGAGGTTAGGTTGGGAATTATTTTTTCGTAAACATCATAAATCATATTAATTAGAGTGTAATTATTTATAAAAAGTACTTTTTTGTTAATAATTAATTAAAACTGGTTAAAAATTCCTTTATTTCCCACTTTCGTATTGGTACGCTTTTTTATGTATAGATGGCGCATCAAGTAATCAAATTAATTTAAAATTTTAACATTTAAAAATTGAAATTTTATCTTAATTTCGTTGTATTACACCTAAATGACTTTTTAATTCGTAATTTAACAATTTTTGATTTTAAATTATCTTTATTTGAGCGATTTTTATAATTTGTTTCTAATTTCAGGTGATATACATAACCTAAAAAAGTTTTACAGGTCTAATTTGTTTAATTATTTAAGTGGAAGAGTTCCTGATTCAAAAGAATTATTTATTAAATAACGAGATGGTTTTAAATACGATAAAGTGTTGTGATTTGGTTAATATGAACCAGGAAAGGGTTAAAATTACGTTTCACCCTCAATTTTTAAGCTCAACTAATCTTTTATTTGGACTGGTTTAAAGTTAAGGTTGGTTTAAATTTATTCTATTCTATATTAATCTAAACACATTATTTGTTACAAACTGAGTTGCATATAATCTTATTTGGGTTGGATTATGAAGAATTTGATTAAGATTATTTAAAAAAAAATAAATTTGAGGTTATAAAAACAATAATGAGGTTAGGTTGGGAATTACTTTTTCGTAAACATCATAAATCATATTAATTAGAGTGTAATTATTTATAAAAAGTACTTTTTTGTTAATAATTAATTAAAACTGGTTAAAAATTCCTTTATTTCCCACTTTCGTATTAGTACGCTTTTTTATGTATAGATGGCGCATCAAGTAATCAAATTAATTTAAAATTTTAACATTTAAAAATTGAAATTTTATATTAATTTCGTTGTATTACCGCCTAAATGACTTTCTAATTCATAATTTAATAATTTTTGAGTTAAAATTATCTTTATTTGAGCGATTTTTATGATTTGTTTCTAATTTCAGGTTATATACATAACCTAAAAAAATTTTAAACGTCTAATTTGTTTAATTATTTAAATGGAAGAGTTCCCGATTCAAAAGAATTGTTTATCGATTTTAAATACGATAAAGTGTTGTGATTTGGTTAATATGGACCAGGAAAGGGTTAAAATTGCGTTTCACCCCGAATTTTTAAGCTCAACTAATCCTTTATTTAGACTGGATTATGAAGAATTTGATTAAGGTGTTTAAAGTTTGATCAATAAATCGTTATCTTGTATCATGGTAAGTTAAAACTAATATTTTTGTCATTTGTCAAAACATTTATGAAAGTTACTTTTTAATTTNTTATTTATAAAAAGTACTTTTTAGTTAATAATTAATTAAAACTGTTTAAAAATTTCTTTATTTCCCACTTTCTTTTGGTACGCTTTTTTATGTATAGATGGCGCATCAAGTAATCAAATTAATTTAAAATTTTAACATTTAAAAATTGAAACTTTATCTTAATTTCGTTGTATTAACACCTAAATGACTTTTTAATTCATAATTTAACGATTTTTGAGTTAAAATTGTCTTCATTTGAGCGATTTTTATGATTTGTTTCTAATTTCAGGTTATATACATAACCTAAAAATTTTAAACGTCTAATTTGTTTAATTATTTAAGTGGAAGAGTTCCTGATTCAAAAGAATTATTTATTAAACAACGAGATGGTTTTAAATACGATAAAGTGTTGTGATTTGGTTGATATGGACCAGGATAGGATTAAAATTGCGCTTCACTCTCAATTTTTAAGCTCAACTAATCCTTTATTTGGACTGGATTATGAAGAATTTGATTTAGGTGTTTAAAGTTTGATCAATAAATCGTTATCTTGTATCATGGCAAGTTAAAACTAATATTTTTGTCATTTGTCAAAACATTTATGAAAGTTACTTTTTAATTTTCACTTTAATTTGTTATAATTCCCCTTGAAAATAAAATGTCTAAAAGTAAAGTGGTTATTTCGGATGAAGTACAGGAAGCTGAAGCTCCCCCTCCTCAGCCGGAAGAAAAAGTTGGTGGCGAAGAAGGCGATAAGAAAGGCAAAAAAGAGAAAAAAGGAAAAAAAGAGAAAGAAGGGAAAAAAGATAAAAAAAAGGGTAAAAAATCAGCTGAAGATCTTACGGAAAAAGGCGAATCTCAAGTTCAAGTTGACGATGGTGGTGAAAAGAAATCCTCGAAATCACAAATTGCTTTGGAAGAAAAATCGTCAAAAAGTGGAACAGACATCAAAAAAAAGGGAAAAAGTTATACCTCTGAGTCAAGAATGGGTATGAAAAGTTCACTTTTTACTTATTCTGATGTGAGATTTAAAAAATAATAATTAATCATTTAATTTAATTATATTTAATTTATTAAAAAGAGTTTGTATTCAATGGGAAGTTCGAGTACTGAGGAAGATGAAGAACCAGAAAAACCAGTGAAAGAGAGCAAAAAAGGCAAAAAAGATAAAAAAGGAAAAAAAGGTGAGGGGGAGGAAGGCGCGGAAAAGAAGCCTAAAAAGGAGAAAGAAAAAAAGGGTAAAAAAGAGAAGAAAAAAAAAGATGTAAAAGACGAAGAAGATGAAGATGACGTAATGGCGGCTATTTTAGCAATGAAAGCAACTGCCGATGAAGGTAAACCTTTATTCCCCCACAAAAAAAAAACAATCCTTAAAATCCCATCTCCCAATTTTTAGAACCAACTGAAACAGAGGAAGAACCCAAGGTACCCCCAAAAAACAATCTTCCTCCACTAAAATTAATTAATTTTTCTAGGCAAAGAAGATGTCGAAAAAAGAAAAAGCCCGTCTAAAAGCTCAAAAAGAAGAGGAAGCCCGAATTGCCGCCGAAGAAGCGGAACAGGCCGCGGAATTAGCCGCCCAACAACGAGAAGAATACCTCAAAGTCACCTGCAAAGCGAAAGAAAACAAAGACATCGTCGAACAATCGCAACGAGTCGATCAATTAGCCGCAAGCGCCGCTTGGATTAAATCGATGAATTATTGCAACTGGAACATCAAAAGTAAAGAAAAAGCCGATAACGAATGGATTAAATATCTAAAATGCGATGGATTACCGGATCCTGCAGATCCAGCACAAATGAACACCTATCTTCATTTATGGGAGAAAGTTACTATTAATGAGGTGAGTAAACTTTTTAAATATAAATTTGTTATTTTTAGCATAAATTTAATCAACTTGAGAATTTTTTTCCTAATAAACCAATAGATTTAGAACAATAATGTATACAAATAAAACAAAGTGCACAGTTTTAGCTTCAAAATGATATATCGCTCATGATTGTAGCTAAATTGTATCATGAGATATCGAAAATTGTATATAACATGACGTTTTTTGAAAATTTGATGTTTTTAGCATAAATTTAATCAACTTGAGATTTTTGTCCTTATAACCTCATAGATTTAAAACAAATAATGTATACAAATAGAACAAAGTATACAGTAGTTTTAGTTTTATTTCTAACGCAAAATGAAACGTCAAAAAATGTCACTTTAAGACGCATAGGAGATAGCGCCATCTGTTAAAAAAAGCCTTAAAATAACGTTTATAACTATCTTCTCATCATGTCAAATATTTTAACCTAATTTAGAACCATGATAAACACGAATTACTATTTGATTTTTTTATAACGTAAAACGTGTACGAGTTATTAAAATGAGCTTCTATGACGCAAATTTCTCTTTAGATTTATTTCTAAAACTGAGTGAGTTAAATAAATATTTTTAATGAAACGTCAAAAAAATGTCATTTCAAAAAGTAAGGTTAGGTTGTGTTAGAGAAGTGTGATTAAAAATTCTCAACATCATTTTCTGGCACAGCTTCAAACGAACCCGGCCGTCAAAATACGTCATGTTTGGTATCAAGTGAAAGCATTTTTGATTCTTATTAAAATCATTTCAATATTTATCGAAAAATCATCATATTCAATTTTGACATTTGACGTTTCTAACCTAACTTTTTTATTTTTTAACTCAAATAGATCCTGTTTCGTATCAAATTAAAGCGTTTTTGATTCTTATTAAGATCATTTCAATATTTATCAAAATTCGTTATATTTAATTTTGACATTTGACAGTTATTAGCCAACTTTTTTACTTTTTTCTAGTTTTAATTTTATTTCTACTAACAATCATCGTAAGACCCATCAAAATTGATTTCATTTGATACCAAACATGATATATTTGGGTTAAAAAATAAACAGGTTAGGTTATAAACTGTCAAATGTCAAAATTAAATATAACAATTTTATAACGAAAAAAAATTTTTGGTCATAACGGTGTCCTTTTTTAACATAAACGCGCAGAAAATTAAAAATGTTTTAAAATGAACCCAAACTCGATCTATTTATCTCTAACCGTTATCGAGATATCTTAATTTTTATGAAAAAAAATGGCGATTATTTGACATTTGACAGTTTCTCACTTAACTTTTTTATTTTTAACCCAAATGTATTATGTTTAGTATCAAATTAAAACATTTTTGATTCTTTTTAAAGTCATTTCAATATTTATCAAAAAATCGTTATATTTAATTTTGACATTTGACATTTCTGACCTAACTTTTCTATTTTTTTACTCCAATACATCGTGTTTGGTATCAAATTAAAGCATTTTTGTTTCTTATTAAGATCATTTTAATATTTATCAAAAAATCGTTACGTTTAATTTTGACATTTGACAGTTTCTAACCTAACTTTTTTATTTTTTAACCCAAACATATCGTGTTTGGCATCAAATGAAAGCATTTTTGATTCTTATTAAAATCATTTCAATATTTATCAAAAAATCGTCATATTTAATTTTGACATTTGACGTTTCTAACCTAACTTTTCTATTTTTTAACCCAAATAGATCGTGTTTGGTATCAAATTAAAGCATTTTTGATTCTTATTAAGATCATTTTAATATTTATCAAAAAATCATTACATTTAATTTTGACATTTGACAGTTTCTAACGTAACTTTTTTATTTTTTAACCCAAACGTATCGTATTTGGCATCAAATGAAAGCATTTTTGATTCTTATTAAAATCGTTTCAATATTTATCAAAAAATCGTCATATTCAATTTTGATATTTGACGTTTCTAACCTAAGTTTTTTATTTTTTAACTCAAATAGATCATGTTTGGTATCAAATTAAAGCATTTTTGATTCTTATTAAGATCATTTTAGTATTTATCAAAAAATCGTTGTTTAATTTTGACATTTGGCAGTTCTAAGATTGGGAATTACTCTATCTTCATATGTAAATTTATTAAAAATAATTTTAGAACTCACCTTTACTGATCGCAGCAATTTTTTCTTCATTTACAAACAACTTTCGATCTACAAACAATTTAAAACATCAATTTAGACAATAAAAACAAACATTAACCTCACTTTTCACTGATTTTTTTTAAAGACTTATTGACAAATCACCATGGTAACGGCAAGTTGAATACTTTTAACACAACTTAACCTCACTTTTTCTGTCTATGTAATAAGAAATAAAACTAAAACTAGAAATTTTAGGGTTTCTAGTTTTAGTTTTATTTCTAACGTAAAATGAGTTAAATTAATTTCATTTAATGAAACGTCAAATAAATGTCATTTGAAAAAGTGGGGTTAGGTTGTCTTGGAAAAATTTCAATCAAAAATTTATTTAAAAAAATAAATAATCTAACAAAAATAAGAATTAAATTGAAATGAACAAATATTTATTTGATTTACACAATACTTACACAATAATCTCTATAATTACTATATAAACTAATTACGTTTTACACAGAACGTATATATTACGATATTTTAAGCATAAATTTTTTTTAATTCTTAATTTCCCCATTACAGGTGACTCCAGAAGAGTGCGTGCGACGTACCCGGGAAGTACTCGATATTTTAAGCGATTTAAACGATTGTATCGATGATCCTTTTAACGTTAAAGAATCGATCGTGCAAGATTGGTACTGGGTGAGGGAGTTGTGTAGGAATGCTCAACGCGAAAATTTCGACGTCGCCACTTATCGGTTAATCAGAGATGTTGAAGGAAGAATGAATCGCATTGATATACCCACGGCTGATTATAAGATTGTTGACGATAATTTCATTTTATGCCTTTGGTTGTTCGTGGAAATGGCAACACCTATGTTTAATCCGAGAGCGCCGCAAAAGTACGAAATCAAATTAATTTAATACGAATTAAAAAAAATTTCATTTTTAGGCCTAAATTATTCGTGAATTTTCCCGAAATGAATACGACCGTTTTATTCCCTGGTGTTATTGATGGAAAAAATGTTACTGTTCGTGGGATTTACGTCAAATACGACCATTTAACTGATACTTGCGCCTCGTTTAATCCGCCACCAATCCCTGAGGAATATGAAATAGGTTAGTTTTAAAATTTTAATTAAATTTTTTATTTAAATAACATTGATTGACAAGACATAAATTATTTTTGTCCATGACTACCTTAAAGACTAGTTATTTTTTACAGAGTGCATAATAGCGATGGTAATCAACTTGACAGACTAATAATAATTATTTAAAACGTCAAAATTTCAAAAAACGTCAATTTAATTTCACTTTTTAGCATTTTCTCAAGGTTTAATTTATGAATTTATTATTATTATTTAATTAATAGGTATGATTTAAGCATAAATTAATTAATTTTCGTAAAAATTATGACGTTTTATAAAATTGACATTTAATTTTGACATATTGTTGTGAAGTTGGTTACAGTTGGTAACATTGAATTTATGTCACATTGACGTTTAAATTTTAATCAAAAATTTATTTAAAAAAATTAATTTATGGAATTCTACTCACATATAATGAGCTATTATTCACTCCAGAAGGTGTCTATTGATATCTATAGTCTTCAAAAAGTGTCCAGAAGATCTCTATAGTAGTCAAAAATTATCCAGAAGCTTTCTAATTGTGTCTATAGGCGTTAAAAACTGTTCAGAAGGTGTCTAATGATACCTAGAGTTATCAAAAAGTGTCCAGAAGGTATTTAATGATTTCTATAGTAGTCAAAAATTGTCCAAAAGCTTTCTAATTATTCCTATAGTCGTTAAAAAGTGTCCAGAAAGTGTCTACTGATATCTATAGTCTTCAAAAGGTATCTGGAAGGTCTCTAATGATTTCTATAGCAGTCAAAAATTATCCAGAAAGTTTCTAATTATTTCTATAGTCGTTAAAAGCTGTCCAGAAGGTGTTTCCTGATATCTATAGTCTTCAAAAAGTGTCCAGAAGGTATCTAATGATCTCTATAGTTTTCAAAAATTATCCAGAAGCTTTGTAATTGTGTCTATAGTCGTTAAAAACTGCCCACAAGGAGTCTAATGATACCTAGAGTTATCAAAAAGTGTCCAGAACGTATTTAATGATTTCTATAGTAGTCAAAAATTGTCCAAAAGCTTTCTAATTATTTCTATAGTCGTTAAAAACTGTCCAGAAAGTGTCTACTGATATCTATAGTCTTCAAAAAGTGTCCAGAAGGTCTCTAATGATCTCTATAGTAGTCAAAATTTATCCAGAAACTTTCTAATTGTTTCTATAGTTATTAAAAACTGTCCACAAGGTGTCTAATGATACCTAGAGTTATGAAAAAGTGTCCAGAAGGTATTTAATGATTTCCCTAGTAGTTAAAAATTGTCCAGAAGCTTTCCAAATATTTCTATAGTCGTTAACAACTGTCCACAAGGTGTCTACCGATATCTATAGTCTTCAAAAACTGTTCAGATGGTATGTAATGATCTCTATAGTAGTCAAAAGTTATCCAGAAGCTTTCCAATTGTTTCTATAGTCATTAAAAATTGTCCACAAGGTGTCTAATGATACCTAGAGTTATGAAAAAGTGTCCAGAAGGTATTTAATGATTTCCCTAATAGTCAAAAATTGTCCAGAAACTTTCTAATTATTTCTATAGTCGTTAAAAACTGTCCAGAAAGTGTCTACTGATATTTCTAGTCTTCAAAAAGTGTTCAGAAGGTCTCTAATGATCTCTATAGTAGTCAAAACTTATCCAAAAACTTTCTAATTGTTTCTATAGTCATTAAAAACTGTCCACAAGGTGTCTAATGATACCTAGAGTTATGAAAAAGTGTCCAGAAGGTATTTAATGATTTCCATAGTAGTCAAAAATTGTCCAAAAGCTTTCTAATTATTCCTATAGTCGTTAAAAAGTGTCCAGAAAGTGTCTACTGATATCTATAGTCTTCAAAAGGTATCTGGAAGGTCTCTAATGATTTCTATAGCAGTCAAAAATTATCCAGAAAGTTTCTAATTATTTCTATAGTCGTTAAAAGCTGTCCAGAAGGTGTTTCCTGATATCTATAGTCTTCAAAAAGTGTCCAGAAGGTATCTAATGATCTCTATAGTTTTCAAAAATTATCCAGAAGCTTTGTAATTGTGTCTATAGTCGTTAAAAACTGCCCACAAGGAGTCTAATGATACCTAGAGTTATCAAAAAGTGTCCAGAACGTATTTAATGATTTCTATAGTAGTCAAAAATTGTCCAAAAGCTTTCTAATTATTTCTATAGTCGTTAAAAACTGTCCAGAAAGTGTCTACTGATATCTATACTCTTCAAAAAGTGTCCAGAAGGTCTCTAATGATCTCTATAGTAGTCAAAACTTATCCAGAAACTTTCTAATTATTTCTATAGTCATTAAAAACTGTCCACAAGGTGTCTACCGATATCTATAGTCTTCAAAAAGTGTTCAGATGGTATGTAATGATCTCTATAGTAGTCAAAAATTATCCAGAAGCTTTCCAATTGTTTCTATAGTCATTAAAAATTGTCCACAAGGTGTCTAATGATACCTAGAGTTATCAAAAAGTGTCCAGAAGGTATTTAATGATTTCTATAGTTGTCAAAAATTGTCTAAAAGCTTTCTAATTACTTCTATAGTCGTTAAAAACTGTCCAGAAAGTGTCTACTGATATCTATAGTCTTCAAAAAGTGTCCAGAAGGTCTCTAATGATCTCTATAGTAGTCAAAATTTATCCAGAAACTTTCTAATTGTTTCTATAGTTATTAAAAACTGTCCACAAGGTGTCTAATGATACCTAGAGTTATGAAAAAGTGTCCAGAAGGTATTTAATGATTTCCCTAGTAGTTAAAAATTGTCCAGAAGCTTTCTAATTATTTCTATAGTCGTTAAAAACTGTCCAGAAAGTGTCTACTGATATCTATAATCTTCAAAAAGTGTCCAGGTCTCTTATGATCTCTATAGTAGTTAAAAACTTATCCAGAAACTTTCCAATTGTTTCTATAGTCATTAAAAACTGTCCACAAGATGTCTAATGATACCTAGAGTTATCAAAAAGTGTCCAGAAGGTATTTAATGATTTCCCTAATAGTCGAAAATTGTCCAGAAGCTTTCTAATTATTTCTATAGTCGTTAAAAACTGTTCATAAAGTGTCTACTGATATCTATAGTCTTCAAAAAGTGTCCAGAAGGTCTCTAATGATCTCTATAGTAGTCAAAACTTATCTAGAAACTTTCTAATTGTTTCTATAGTCATTAAAAACTGTCCACAAGGTGTCTAATGATACCTAGAGTTATGAAAAAGTGTCCAGAAGGTATTTAATGATTTCCCTAATAGTCAAAAATTGTCCAGAAGCTTTCTAATTATTTCTATAGTCGTTAAAAACTGTCCAGAAAGTGTCTACTGATATCTATAGTCTTCAAAAAGTGTCCAGAAGGTCTCTAATGATCTCTATAGTAGTCAAAACTTATCCAGAAACTTTCTAATTGTTTCTATAGTCATTAAAAACTGTCCACAAGGTGTCTAATGATACCTAGAGTTATGAAAAAGTGTCCAGAAGGTATTTAATGATTTCTACAGTAGTTAAAAATTGTTCATAAGCTTTCTAATTATTTCTATAGTCGTTAAAAACTGTTTAGAAGGTGTTTCTTGATATCTATAGTAGTCAAACATTATCCAGGAGCTTTCCAATTGTTCAGAAAGTATTTAATGATTTCTATAGTAGTCAAAAATTATCTAGAAGCTTTTTAATTATTTCTATAGTCATTAAAAACTGTCTAGAAGGTGTTTCCTGAAATCTACAGTGTGTTTCTGTGACTCGGGGAGCAAATGTACCACAAAAATAAAATTAATATATCAATAAAAAAATTATCAAAGTTAAGAAAATTTAACACATTTTTCTAAATATCTTAAACACTATTTATGGTAAAGCGTTTAAATTTGGTATAGTGTAAACTAATATCACGTAAAAGCATTAGGCAATTTTTGAGTTGTATCGATACGCAGGAACAAAGCTATACAGGCTGTTCCTAAAGTTTGTTTGCTCAGAACTTTTTTATTCTATCATAACCCTACATTTATTTTTGCAGCTTCTAATAGTAAATTTAGTTTAGAAACTTTTATCACTCTTAGAGAATATTGATAAAATCCACCGTTTTCGTATTAAATGCAAAAATAAATAAATAAATAATCTGAATTGGCAATGACAAGTGAAAATCGAACTGAGCTGTCATAACTATTATGTATGCAACATGTCCAAGTGTAGATTTAGCTAAATATGCAAAAATAAATGTAGGGTCATGATAGAATAAAAAAGTTCTGAGCAAACAAACTTTAGGAACAGCTGTATAGCATCACATTGATTTACACTGTACCGAATTTCAGCACTTTACTGTAAATAGTGTTTAAGATATTTGTAAAAATGTGTTAAAATTTCCTAACTTTGATGGCCCGTACCTCTAGTAGTCTTCAAAAACTGTCCAGAAGGTCTCAAGGTCTTGTACGTCAATTTAATTTCATTTTTTTAGGACTTTTCAAAGTTTTGGCATTAAAAAAACGTAAACAAATTCCTTTTTTCGTATGATTTAAGCATAAATTAATTCATTTTCGTAAAAAAAACATGACGTTTCATAAAATTGACATTTAATTTTGACAAATTGTTATGAAGTTGGTTACAGTTGGTAACATTGAATTTGTGTCACATTCAAAAATTTATTTAAAAAAATAAATTCATGGAATCAATTTCAATAGTAGTCAGTAATAATAGTAATAATGAGCTATTATTCACTCAGGTTAATTATGAAGCTTAACCTTAGTGAATATTAGCCCTCATTATATGCTCGTATAATAATATACTATTATTAAATACTCACAAGATTAACTTAAATATAACAATGGGTGAAAACGAAGCGTGGTGATTCTGATGGTTGTTATATTATGTTAGAAAATGATGTTGAGGATTTCTAATACAACTTAACCTCACTTTTTCAAATGACATTTTTTTTGACGTTTCATTAAAAAAATTTAATTAACTCACTCAGTTTTAGAAATAAAACTAAAAAGAAATTTGCGTCATAGAAGCTCGTTTTAGTCACTCGTACACGTTTTACGTTATAAAGAAAATCAAATAGTAATTCGTGTTTATCGTGGTTCTAAATTAGGTTAAAATATTTGACGTGATGAGAAGATAGTTACAAACCTATATTTTAAGAGTTTTTTCGGTAGATGGCGCTATCTCCTATGCGTCTTAAAGTGACATTTTTGACGTTTCATTAAAAAAAATTTATTTCATTCATTTTGCGTTAGAAATAAAACTAAATTTAATTTTAGTTTTATTTCTTATTACATAGACAAAAAAAGTGAGGTTAACTTGTGTTAAAAGTAAGTAAAAAAGTGAGCTTAAGTTATAAACGTATATTTTAAGGCTTTTTTCGGTAGATGGCGCTGTCTCCTATGCGTCTTAAAGTGACATTTTTGACGTTTCATTAAAAAAAAATGTATTTAACTCTTTTTATTCCTTATTCCATCAGCAGTAACGGTTGTAAAAAATGAGGTTAGGTTTTTTGAATGGATATTTCGTATCTTGTGAGCGAGTTTACTTTAAATTAATTTTCGTAAAAAAAAACATGACGTTTCATAAATTTTTACAAATTGTTGTGAATTGTTTACAGTTGGTAACATTGAATTTCTGTCACATTGACGTTTAAACTTTATTCAAAAATTTATTTTAAAAAATGAATTTGTCGACGACTCCCTTACAATATAATATAATATATACCTAATAAATGAGTTTTAAAAAGTGCATGTGACAAATTAAAAGTACATTTTTGTTAATCAAGTCTAATTTAAAATTTTTTTTTAGAACTCTTAGATTGTGTGACCAAAGAATGGTACATCCGAATGATGTATAAATGGGATAATCGTAAAAGAAAACACATAATGCTTGAAAACGATTACGGAGAATTAGTAGAAGGCCCTTTAGAGCCCGAACCTGTACTCGAAGAAGGCGAATTACCACCACCGACCCCTTTCGTAGTTCTAGATCCAACTCCGAGCGAACACGCGATCGGAATCGAGGAAGATCTTTACGCACAAGTCCGCGCGAATATGTGCCAACAAGTTCCGGTGGACACAACGGTGATTAATTTGCGGAAATTTTTGATCGTTGGTGGAATTTTTTATGTAAATCTCGCTTACCAGCCGCCTTATCCACAGGATAAAGTCTCCTTCGAAATTAGATTGACGAGGCGTAATTTGTAATGATATACGTTATTTCTTAAATAATTATTTAATTTTTTTAGTTTTAATGCCGAAGAGTTTGGCTGAAGTGGAGTTTAAGGCGGATTATCATCCTCCAGAACCTGAACTTGAGATGGAAGAAGAAGAGGAGGAAGATCCTGAATGTCCTTTACCAGAAAAGACTCCGGAAGAAATTGAAGAGGAGAGACAAGTTTTAGAGCAGCTCCAACAGGCTGAATTGGAAAAACTTTTATTGATCACTGTAAAGTACGTAGTTGGTTATTTAATTAAGCCGAGGTCGCTTGCGGCCGAGGCCCCCGTTTTTATGCCACTTGATGAGACAAATTTATAACAGAGCCGAGGTCGCTTGCGGCCGAGGCCCCCGTTTTTATGCCACTTGATGAGTCAAATTTATAACAGAGCCGAGGTCGCTTGCGGCCGAGGCCCCAGTTTTCTTGTGATTTGATGAATCAAAGTTATAACAGAGCCGAGGTCGCTTGCGGGCGAGGCTCCACATTATACAGGATGTGTCAAATGTCTCGAATATAGCCAATAGCTTTGTCATTTGTGATTTTAAAGAAAAATGTTTCAAATACAAGTTTCTGTATTAATCGTGAAGCATTTTTTGGCGATATTTGCTTGTTTCTATTGTTTTTGTTTCGTTGCTATGGCAACCAATATTGTTTATTTTAAATTTAATGCATATACATGTCTCAGCGAGACCGGTCATTAGACGTTTCTGTTTCTGGGGTTCTGGCGAAAATAAAAATTTGAGAATTCAGACTTAAGTATTATCAATTACGATCTCTTCGTCTAAAATATTTTCAGATTTCTTGCACTTCCGGTTATACCGGAAGTCGCCACCAACTTTATTTTTTTAAATGGAATACCCTGTATATTTTTACATATTTGGATTTGGCTGTTTTCAAGGTTTATAAATAACTTTACTTTTTGCAATTTGATTCGTCCGTTCTCGAGTTATTCGAATTTTTCTAGAAAAATCTGCTCCAGCAGACATTTGTTCAAAAAATCAGAGATCACTCGATTTTTGGGATATCAATTTAAGATTGAGAACATGCTTAAGCAACATGATGGGGTATGTTTTGGTGCCGAGAATTGCTGTCTAGAACGTTTGGTCACTTTACTATGGCACGTTAACTTTTCAAAATTTGGAAGTACCATAACTTCACTTTCTTAAATGGCACCCCCCATATTTTATTTCTTAGTCGTCTTCGGTGTCTCATTCTACATCTTTTATATCCTATATGTCCCATACCTAATATTAATAGTTTGGGAGATAATTAGGGTTTTTTGAAAAATGCACACATCATATGGATATTTAGCCTGTAAAAATATACAGGGTGTTCCATACAGAGTCTGCATTCTCAAATTTTTTGTTTGCACAGAACCCCAGAAACGTCTAATGACCGGTCTCGCTGAGACACCCTGTATTTTTTTTACATACTTTGATAGAGGATAAATCCCCTATGTGATGAACATATTAAATCATATGTTTGTATAAGAAAAAATGCGTTTTCTGAACATTTTGTAATGCCGTTGACAGCTTTAAATATCAAAAAAATGACAGTTTCAACAATTATGAATTATGAATTAATAATGTATAGGTACTGTGACACACATTTAATGTAGCTTCCGTTATTAAAGAATTTTTTTAATATTTTGGATACTGTGAATTGTGTTATTTATGCGTTTTCTATCACCATACTCATGCATCATTAATATTTAGATTCTTTGTCGTTCGTTTAATTGCGCCATATTTGTTTAACCTGTCAATTTTTGACATTTAAAGCTGTCAACGGCGTTATTTCGGCGCCTACTTTAATTGTAATTGATCTTTTTCTTCGCGTAGTGGGATTTATCCTCCTCCTCCAGCAAAATATGCAAAAAACATGCATTCCATTTAAAATAACAATGTTGGTTGCCATAGCAACGAAACAAAAAACAATGTAAATGAACAAATATCGCCACAAAATGCGCTATAATGAATAAAAAAATTTTTATTTGAAACATTTTTCTTTAAAACCACAAATTACGAAGTTATTGGCTATATTCCAGGTATTTGATACACCCTGTATGTTATAAACTGTTCTGTGTTAAACTTAGAACAGAAATTGATGGTTTTATCTAATTAAGCAAGATTTTAGTTTTATTAATCCTCCATTTAGGTTGGATAAAAAATTTGAGCGAAGTTATTTAAAAATAAATAAAATTGAGGTTATGAAAACAAAAATGAGGTTAGGTTGGGAATTATTTTTTCGTAAACATCATAAATCATATTAATTAGAGTGTAATTACTTATAAAAAGTACTTTTTGGTTAATAATTATTTAAAACTGGTTAAAAATTCCTTTATTTCCCACTTTCTTATTGGTACGCTTTTTTACGTATAGATGGCGCATCAAGTAATCAAATTAATTTAAAATTTTAACATTTAAAAATTGAAATTTTATCTTAATTTCGTTATATTAGCGCCTAAATGACTTTTTAATTCGTAATTTAACAATTTTTGATTTTAAATTATCTTTATTTGAGCGATTTTTATAATTTGTTTCTAATTTCAGGTTATATACATAACCTAAAAAAAATTTGCACCTCTAATTTGTTTAATTATTTAAGTAGAAGAGTTCCTGATTCAAAAGAATTATTTATTAAGTAACAAGATGGTTTTAAATACGATAAAGTGTTGTGATTTGGTTAATATGGACCGGGAAAGGGTTAAAATTGCGTTTCACCCTCAATTTTTAATTTCAACTAATCCTTTATTTGGACTTGTTTAAAGTTAAGGTTGGTTTAAACTTATTCTATATTAATCTAAACACATTATTTGTTACAAACTGAGTTGCATATAATCTTATTTGGGTTGGATTATAAAGAATTTGATTAAAATTATTAAAAAAAAAATAAATTTGAGGTTATAAAAACAATAATGAGGTTAGGTTGGGAATTATTTTTTCGTAAACATCATAAATCATATTAATTAGAGTGTAATTATTTATAAAAAGTTCTTTTTGGTTAATAATTAATTAAAACGGGTTAAAGATTACTTTCTTATTGGTACACTTTTTTATGTATAGATGGCGCCTCAAGTAATCAAATTAATTTAAAAATTGAAATTTTATCTTAATTTCATTGTATTAGCGCCGAAATGACTTTTTAATTTGTTATTTAACAATTTTTGATTTAAATTATCTTTATTTGAGCGATTTTTATGATTTGTTTCTAATTTCAGGTTATACAGGTGTTTCTGTAAGTCGTGGCATTTTTAATCACAAATACTAGAATCAAAATGATAATTAACGCCCTAAACGTCTAATATATAGGCTATCAAAGTTAAGAAATTTTCTTAACTATTTTCATTATGGTTTATTTTAGAAAGATAAAATTTAGCAAACAGTGCAATGTTATCATGAGTAATCGTTTAAGATCACTTTTGAAAATATGCAAACACAGGATCAATGCTATACAGAGTGTTCATAAAGGTTATTTTCTTATTATGTTCTTTATTATGTCGTAAACCATTAAATTTTATCACTAATTTTGAAAGCTTATTTAATTTTAAAATTATTTTTACTCTTACAAATTTTTGATTAGGCGCATCGTTTTAGAGTTATTCACAAAAAGGTTCAAATCCGTTCAAAAGAAATTTATTACATATGAAATAATTTCTTTTTTACATTTTGTTCTAAAAGATATTTAGCAATCGAACCGCACATACAAATATTATCAACACAAAACCCATACAATCCAATACAAGTATTCTTGCACGTTTTGTTTACGCACGCAGGAAACGTCTCGGATTCGACGTATTCATCTTGATAACTGGGATAAATCACCATAAAAATTATCAAATAAATAATGCATCTTTTCATTTTCGTTTTAAACCTAATCAGATTTAATTAAAATGAATTTGACTTGTTATTAACATTAATTTTTTGTTTCCAGGATACCCCAACATATAATTTTGTTAGATTTACCAACTTTATGCACTTGGGATCCCGACAACAAACAATGGACCACCGACGAAATTTACGACGTCAAACAAATCGAAGAACAAAATATGGTGATATTTAGAACGACGAGATTCGGGGCATTTTCCTTCGCTATTAATCGATATATTAACATGCCGTTTCAAGCTTGGGAATTAAAACCAGAACCTGAGTAAATAGTATATTATTATTTTACTAGCATATAATGAGGGCTATTATTATAGCTCATTATATGTGAGTAGAATACTATACTTTGTCCACGACTACCGTTGAAATAAATTTTTGAATAAAATTTAAACGTCAATGTGACACAAATTCGATGCTACCAACCGTAATCAACTTCACAACAATTTGTCAATTTTATGAAACGTCACATTGCTTTTTAACGAAAATTAATTAATTTATGCTTAAATTGTACGAAAAAATGAATTTATCTAATTCCATTGTGACTATCTGACGTTTCTTAACGTCACTTTTTTTATAATTAATGATGTAGTGAATTCCATAACCTAACTACAAATTGATAAATTGACATCTGTCACTAAGTTTTGAACAAAAATTGCTTTTTAAAAGAAATTAGATAAAATTTTGTACTTAACACGTCATGAAACGGCTAATTTTGTTTAACTCACGTAATTTGCAAAACTCTTTCTAACGCAAAATGGGTTAAATAAATGTCTTTTAACCAAACATGATATATTTCGGATAAAAAATAAACAGGTTAGGTTTATAAACTGTCAAATGGCAAAATTAAATTAAAGGTGTTCTTTTTTAACATAAACGGGCAGAAAATTAAAAATGTTTTAAAATGAACCCAAACTCGATTTATTTATCTCTAACCGTTATCGAGATATCTTAATTTTTAGCAAAAAAAAAATGGCGATTATTTGACATTTGACAATTTCTAATCTAACTTTTTTATTTTTAACCCAAATATAATATGTTTAGTATCAAATTAAAGCATTTTTGGTTCTTTTTAAAGTCATTTCAATATTTATCAAAAAATCGTCATATTTAATTTTGACATTTGACATTTCTAACCTAACTTTTCTATTTTTTTACCCGAATACATCGTGTTTGGTATCAAATTAAAGCATTTTTGATTTTTATTAAGAATATTTTAATATTTATCAAAAAATCGTTACATTTAANGCTCATTATATGTGAGTAGAATACTATACTTTGTCCACGACTACCGTTGAAATAAATTTTTGAATAAAATTTAAACGTCAATGTGACACAAATTCAGTGTTACCAACTTCACAACAATTTGTCAATTTTATGAAACGTCACATTTCTTTTTTTAACAAAAATTAATTAATTTATGCTTAAATTGTACGAAAAAAGGAATTTATCTAATTCCATTATGACTATCTGACGTTTCGTAACGTAACTTTCTTTTATAATAATGATGTAATGAATTCCATAACCTAACTATAAATTGATAAATTGACATCTATCACTAAGTTTTGAACAAAAATTGCTTTTTCAAAAAAATTAGATAAAATTTTGTACTTAACACGTCATGAAACGGCTAATTTTGTTTAACTCACGTAATTTGCAAAACTTTCTAATGCAAAATGAGTTAAATAAATTTTTTTTAATGAAACGTCAAAAATGTCACTTTAAGACGCATAAGAGATGGCGCCACCTGCCGAAAAAAGCCTTAAAATATACGTTTGTAACTATCTTCTCATCATGTCAAAAATTTTAACCTAATTTAGAACCACGATAAACACGAATTATTATTTGATTTTCTTTATAACGTAAAACGTGTACGAGTGACTAAATTGAGTTTCTATGACGCTAATCTCTCTTTAAATTTATTTCTAAAACTGAGTGAGTTAAATAAATATTTTTAATGAAACGTCAAAAAAATGTCATTTCAAAAAGTGAGGTTAGGTTGGATTGAAAAAATCGTTATATTTAACTTTGACATTTGACAGTTATAACCATCTTTTTACTTTTTTTAAGTTTTAATTTTATTTTTACTAACAATCGTCGTAAGACCCGTCAAAATTGCTTTCATTTGATACCAAACATGATATATTTGGGTTAAAAATAAACAGGTTAGGTTGTAAACTGTCAAATGTCAAAATTAAATATAATAATTTTATAACGAAAAAAAATTTTTGGTCATAAAGGTGTTTCTTTTTTAACATAAACGGGCAGAAAATTAAAAATGTTTTAAAATGAACCCAAACTCGATCTATTTATCTCTAACCATTATCGAGATATATTAATTTTTATCAAAAAAAATGGCGATTATTTGACATTTGACAGTTTCTAACCTAATTTTTTTATTTTTAACCCAAATATATTATGTTTAGTATCAGATTAAAGCATTTTTGGTTCTTTTTAAAGTCATTTCAATATTTATCAAAAAATCGTCATATTTAATTTTGACATTTGACGTTTCTAACCTAACTTTTCTATTTTTTAACCCAAATACATCGTGTTTGGTATCAAATTAAAGCATTTTTGATTCTTATTAAGATCATTTTATTATTAATTTATCAAAAAATCGTTACATTTAATTTTGACATTTAACACTTTCTAACCCTACTTATTTATNATTTTATTTCTACTAACAATCCTCGTAAGACCCGTCAAAATTGATTTCATTTGATACCAAACATGATATATTTGGGTTAAAAAATAAACAGGTTAGGTTGTAAACTGTCAAATGTCAAAATTAAATATAAGAATTTTATAACGAAAAAAAATTTTTGGTCATATAGGTGTTCTTTTTTAACATAAACGGGCAGAAAATAAAAAATGTTTTAAAATGAACCCAAACTCGATTTATTTATCTCTAACCGTTATCGAGATATCTTAATTTTTAGCAAAAAAAAATGGCGATTATTTGACATTTGACAGTTTCTAATCTAACTTTTTTATTTTTAACCCAAATATATTATGTTTAGTATCAAATTAAAACATTTTTGGTTCTTTTTAAAGTCATTTCAATATATATCAAAAAATCGTCATATTTAATTTTGACATTTGACATTTCTAACCTAACTTTTCTATTTTTTTACCCGAATACGTCGTGTTTGGTATCAAATTAAAGCATTTTTGATTTTTATTAAGAATATTTTAATATTTATCAAAAAATCGTTACATTTAATTTTGACATTTGACAGTTTCTAATCTAACTTTTCTATTTTCTAACCCAAATACATCGTGTTTGGTATCAAATGAAAGCATTTTTGATTCTTATTAAAATCATTTCAATATTTATCAAAAAATCGTCATATTCAATTTTGACATTTGACGTTTCTAACCCAACTTTTTTATTTTTTAACTCAAATAGATCCTGTTTCGTATCAAATTAAAGCGTTTTTGATTCTTATTAAGATCATTTCAATATTTATCAAAAAATCTTCATATTTAATTTTGACATTTGATGTTTCTAACCTAACTTTTCTATTTTTTAACCCAAATACATCGTGTTTGGTATCAAATTAAAGCATTTTTGATTCTTATTAAGATCATTTTAATATTTATCAAAAAATCATTACATTTAATTTTGACATTTGACAGTTTCTAACCTAACTTTTTTATTTTTTAACCCAAACGTATCGTATTTGGCATCAAATGAAAGCATTTTTGATTCTTATTAAAATCGTTTCAATATTTATCAAAAAATCGTCACATTCAATTTTGACATTTGACGTTTCTAACCTAAGTTTTTTATTTTTTAACTCAAATAGATCATGTTTGGTATCAAATTAAAGCATTTTTGATTCTTATTGAGATCATTTTAGTATTTATCAAAAAATCGTTGTTTAATTTTGACATTTGACAGTTTCTAACCTAACTTTCTATAAAGTTTACAACTTACAGTTTTCTGTCAGTTCTAAAAATAATTTTAGAGCTTACCTTTACTGATCGCAGCAATTTTTTCTTCATTTACAAACAACCTCCGATCCACAAACAATTTAAAACATCAATTTAAACAATAAAAACAAACATTAACCTCACCTTTCAGTGATTTTTTTTAAAGACTTATTGATAAATCACCATGGTAACGGCAGGTTGAATACGTTTAACACAACTTAACCTCACTTTTTCTGTCTATGTAATAAGAAATAAAACTAAAACTAGAAATTTTAGTTTTATTTCTAACACAAAATGAGTTAAAAAAATTTATTTTGAAGAAACGTCAAAAAATGTCACTTTAAGACGCATAGGAGATAGCGCCATCTGTCGAAAGAGTCATAAAATATACGTTTGTAACTATCTTCTCATCATGTCAAATATTTTAACCGTTTTTTGAAATTTTGATTTTTTTTTTGAAAACTCATTTACAAGGTAGTCGTGGACAAATTCATTTAATGTTTATACAAAATTTTTGTAATTAATCATTTTTAGCGGTACCGTAACGTTTCAACTAACTTGTGCCATCTTAATGCTCGAATTCAACGTAAAAAAGAACACGATTTGTTTAACACAGCTCCTAAACAGTCCGAACAAAGCCTTACAAGACATAATTGGAACTTATTACAAGTTACCAAAGTTAATACGGGTAAAAATAACTTACGTTTTAATAAATTTAATTAATCTTAGTCTAAATTAGATTCTAAGACAAGGCGGGATCGATGTATTTCCAGCATACGACGCTTTTTGTTACTTAGAATCGGGATTTTGCGAAAAACATTGGCCCCTTGAAAAGAATTTGTACCAATTGATGGGGTTAATGAGTTCCGTGTTTAATTTTTCGTGGTCTAGATGGAACGTGCAGGCGCCGAGGCGACATATTATAATGCAAATGAGGGAGTACCACCACGGTCGATTAAAACAGGTAAAAAATTAATGTAATAAATCAATTTATTGTTGCATAAAAATGTAGGGAGATTTCCATATGTTATTGGTGACCCCGTTAAAGGCAGTTTTCGTGAATTGCACGGAAATTAGTCAAGAATTCACCGACGAACCGATTCAAGGAATCACTAAATTCTGTTCGGATTTGTTTCATTTAATGAAAGCCTCCTCTGGAATGTCAACAAAAAATAAAGTTGCCAAGACCCATTTTGACATATCAAAAACCGTCGGGGATTTATTATTAGCCACGAGAATTCATAGTTTTTCATAAAATAAAAAATTAATCAACAATTTGTTTAATTTAATTCCTAAATTTAAATGATTTTGACGTTAAAAAAATTTTTTTTTCACCGCTAGATGTCACCTTTGAGTCATAGATGTCTGTTTTAGCTTCACGATTTCGTCGTTAGAGTGCGCTATAAAACGAGCGTTCAAAAAGTACAAAAGCATATGGCGTAGGTTTTCTATTTTTGCTAACACATCCAGAAAACAGTGAAAACGGCCCCCCTGTCAAAATGGCCCCGTTTACTGTGTGATCGCGAATTTGGCGCTCGTTACCCCGAGCCCCCACGGACATACAACAAACGCTAACCGACGTCGCTGACCCCCCAAACGTTCGACGTCCCGTCATCCTCGTCGTGTTGTTGTTGCGTCGTCGTAGTCGTGGTGTTGTGTCGCCGTCGTTGTGCCCCCTTTCAAAAACATTCAGCAACAAATAGGATTAAAAAGAAAACTTTGAGTCTGTGATATTAGCCGTTTAACGTAATTTATTAACTACTAAGAGGTAAGTCAAGGGGCCCCTTTACTTTCGCGTACTTTTTTTTTTCTTTATGTTGTTTTCATAGATTTTCGAATTTATCGACGGTTTGATTATAAAGAAGATTTGGATTGTTTTTTTTGATTTTGGGTGGATTTCGCGGAGAAGGACGCGTTTTGATTTTGGGAGAATGTCGAGTGTGGAAGATGAAGGAGCCGAGACGATGATGTCGTCGTCGTCAACAGTTGTTGATGAACCCCAAAGACAAGGTAAAGTGGCCCCATTTATTGTTATATTTTTAATCGCTTTGACAGCTTTTGTATTCATACATAGATAGATATAAACATTGAAGGTTCTTTTCTTTAATTAGGTTATCTTAAGATTATTAATTATTAATTCAAAATTAGAGAGGATTCTAAATTGAATCGTTTTTATTTCACATCAATTACATTTTAATCAAAAAAATGTTAGGTAAGTTTTTAACATAACCTTAAACCCCAATTTTAGTTTTATTTATATCAATCTTAAATGTTTTTTTTTTAGTTTATTATTATTGATTAAAACCTTATCCTCTGATAAACTTAATACATAAACTTGCACAATTTTTATACAACGTGAATCATAAAAAAACCGTTATCACAACACTTAAATATTTTTAAACAGAAATAATTCATTTAATAAATGTTTTAGGCTCCTAATTGTTGATTTAGATGATTTAGAGGAGAAAATAATCATAGAGAAGGGCCAAAAATTGTTTAAAAAGTATTCATTTAACTTTTACGATTTTGACATTTTTAGGTTATAAAAAAATTAATGATAAAATTAAATTCGATTCATTAAAATAACCTTAATAATCTTTTTTTTAAAATAAAATATGAATCAATTAAACAATTAATAAGAAATTATAAAGAAATTGTTGAAACATAACCTCTCCATATAAATTTATATCACCATAAAGTAAAAGACGTTTAAAAATGATTATAATAAAAACAATTTTTATTATACAACGATTTTTTTGTGATAAGATCTTTTTATTTATCACTTTTTATCATTATTGATAATCAAATTAAATCCAAACATAACCTCATTTTATTATTAGTGTGAAGTTAGCTGTCAATCAATACCTGTCAATTCAATTAAAATTGACAGGTAAAATAAAATTGTTGAATAATAATTATAATAATTTGTAATTAAAACTATTTTAAAGATGATTTTCGAATTAAGAAGTTGTTGGTAAGTTATTGGAGTTCTCAAAGTTGTTTTTGAGCTTACTAAGGTGTCTTTAATAACCTTTTAAAATACTTTTGTAAAGCTTTTTTGTCAGTTTCTATTTTGGTCAGCGCAGTTTTTGACTTTTTGAATGATATAAAAGTTGATATAGTTGAGACTATATAGAAAAATATCATATTTAGGAATGTTATGAATGATGTTGAGGTGTGTTAGGGACCATATTTAAGGATGCCAGAGGCGAATTGTGGGATATCCAGGTTAATGTTGAGGTTTGTTATTCAAAAATGTTATGAACAATATGCCAGGGACGATTTAGCGATGTTGCGGACAATGTTAGTTATTAGAAACAATATTAAGGAATGTTAGGAATGCTATGGCGAGGTTGAGATGTGTTATACACAACATTTAGGGATAATACTGAGGGATTATATGTTGAGATGTTGATGGATGTTGCAGGCAATGTTAAGTTGTGTCAGAAACAACATTTAGGGATATCAGAGATGATACTGAGGAATGTTTGGGTTGATGTTTATGTGTTAGGGACGATGTTGGAAGTTATTAGAGACAAAATTAAGGAATGTTAGGGACAGGTATTGATGAATATAATTAGAGATGTCAGGAATTATACTTAGGAATGTTTATGGCGAGGTTGAGGTGTGTTAAGAACAATATGTAGGGATCTCAAGGATGATATTGAGGGATGTTTAAGGTGTGGTTGAGGCGTTTCAGAAATGATGTTGATGGATATTGAGGACAATGTTAAGTTGTGTCAGCAATAACATTTAGGGATGTCAGAGATTATATTGAAGAATGTTTAAGGTGAGGTTGAGGCGTTTCAGGGACGATGTTAGAAGTTATTAGAGACAATATTAAGGATTATTGATGGATATCTAAGTTGATGTTGAAAATGTTCGGTTGAGATGTGTTAAACACAATATTTAGGGATCTTATTGATAATACTGAGGGATGTTCAGATTAAGATGTTGATGAATGTTGCAGACAATGTTAAATTGTGTCAGGAACAACATTTAGGGATGTCATAGATGATACTGAGGAATGTTTGGGTTGATGTTTATGTGTTAGGGACGATGTTGGAAGTTATTAGAGACAACATTAAGGAATGTTAGGGACAGTTATTGATGAAAATAATTAGAGATGTCGGGAATTATACTTAGGAATGTTTATGGCGAGGTTGAGGTGTGTTAAGAGCAATATTTAGGGATCTCAAGGATGATATTGAGGGATGTTTAAGGTGTGGTTGAGGCGTTTCAGAAATGATGTTGATGGATATTGAGGACAATGTTAAGTTGTGTCAGCAATAACATTTAGGGATGTCAGAGATTATATTGAAGAATGTTTAAGGTGAGGTTGAGGCGTTTCAGGGACGATGTTAGAAGTTATTAGAGACAATATTAAGGATTATTGATGGATATCTAAGTTGATGTTGAAAATGTTCGGTTGAGATGTGTTAAACACAATATTTAGGGATCTCATTGATAATACTGAGGGATGTTCAGATTAAGATGTTGATGAATGTTGCAGACAATGTTAAATTGTGTCAGGAACAACATTTAGGGATGTCATAGATGATACTGAGGAATGTTTGGGTTGATGTTTATGTGTTAGGGACGATGTTGGAAGTTATTAGAAACAAAATTAAGGAATGTTAGGGACAGTTATTGATGATAATAATTAGAGATGTCAAGAATTATACTTAGGAATGTTTATGGCGAGGTTGAGGTGTGTTAAGAGCAATATTTAGGGATCTCAAGGATGATATTGAGGGATGTTTAAGGTGTGGTTGAGGCGTTTCATAAACAATATTGAGGACAATGTGAAGTTGTGTCAGCAATAACATTTAGGGATGTCAGAGATTATATTGAAGAGTGTTTAAGGTGAGATTGAGGCGTTTAAGGGACGATGTTGGAAGTTATTAGAGACAATATTAAGGAATGTTAGGTACTGTTATCGATGGTTGATGTTGAAGAATGTTCAGAGCAATAATTAGATATGTCAGGGATGTCTATGACGAGGTTGAGATGTGTTAAACATAATATGTAGGAATCCCATAGATAATACTGAGGGATTTTAGGTTGAGATGTTAATGGATGTTACGGACAATGTCAAGTTGTGTCAAGAACAACATTTAGGGATATCAGAGATGATACTAAGACATGCCAAGGGTAAGGTAGAGATGTTTTAGGGACGATTTTAATGAATGTTGTTAGAAACAACATTTAGGGATGTCAGAAAAGATACTGAGGAATGTTTGGGTTGATAATTATTGTGTCAAAGACGATATTGGAAGTTATTAGAATGTTAGGGACGGTTATTGAAAGATGTCTGAGTTGATGTTAAAGAATGTTCAGCGTAATAATTAGAGATGTTAGGGATGATATTTTGGAATATTTATGGCGAGGTTGAGGTGTGTTAAGAAGAATAATTAGGGATCTCAGAGATGATACTGAGAAATGCCTAAGGTTAGGTTGAGGTGTTTCAGGGACGATTTTAATGATTTTTAACAATATTAAGAGATGTCAGAGATGATGCTGAGGAATGTTTGAGTTGATCTTTACGTGTTAGGGACGATGTTGGAAGTTATTAGAGACAACGTTAAGGAATGTTAGGGAGTTATTGATGGATGTCTGAATTAACGTCAAAAAGTGCCCGCTGCAATAATTAGAGATGTCATTAGAGACGATATTAAGGAATGTTAGGTACGGTTATTGATGGTTGATGTTGAAGAATGTTCGGAGCAATAATTAGATATGTCAGGGATGTGTATGGCAAGGTTGAGATGTGTTCTACACAATATTTAGGGATCTCAGGGATCATACTGAAGGATGTTTCAGGGACGATGTTGATCAAAGTTGCCGACAATGTTAAGTTATGTCTGGACCAACATTTAGAGATGTCAGAGGTGATACTAAGAAATGCCTAAGATGAGGTTGAAATGTTTCAGGGACGATTTTAATGAATGTTGCAGTGAATGTTAAGGTCTGTCGGGAATAATATTTAGGGATGTCAGAAATGATGTTGAGGAATGTTTGGGTTAATGTTTATGTGTGTCAAGGACGATGTTGGAAGTTATTACAGACAATATTAAGGAATGTTAGGGACGGTTATTAATGGATGTCTAAGTAAGTTGATGTTGATGAAAGTTTGGAGCATAATTAGAGAGATGTCAAAGGGATGTTTATGGTTGAGGTGTTTCAGGGACGATTTTGATGGATGTTGCGGACAATGTTAAAGTCTGTCAAGAACAATATTTAGGGATGCAAGAGATGATGCTGAGGAATGTTTGGGTTGATGTTTATGTGTGTCAGGGACTATGTTGTAAGTTATTAGAATAACTAATATTATTAAAAGTCTGAGTTGGTATTGAAGAGTGTCCGGAACAATAATTAGAGATACTTAGGAATGGCGAGGTTGAGGTCTGTTAAGAACAACATTTAGGGATCTCGGGGATGCTCTAGAGGGATGTCTTACTTGATGTTGTGGTGTGCCTGGGACGATATTAAGGGATGTTGAGAGATATTGCGGGCGATTTTGAGATTTTTTAGGGGGGGAGGGGTACAATGCGGAGTTAGTCCGATATTGAGTGTTTCTAGGGATGATTTAGACGAAATTTTCCCAGAGATAGATTAGAGATGTCAGGCATGATACTTAGGGATGTCTATGGCGAGCTTGAAGTGTGTTAAGAATATTTAGGGATCTCTGGGATGATATTGAAGAATGTCATAATTAATGTTGGCGTGTGTCAGGGACGATATTAAGGGATGTTGACGGATATTACGGACGATTTTGAGTTTTTTTAGGGTACTGTACAGGGTGTCCAAATTTCGATGGGTTTGCTGGGTATCTCAGTTATTATGAAAGATAGAAAGTTGCGGCTTTCGCGAACCTGAGCTACTTTTTTGTGAAACTTACAATGNTGTTGCAGTGAATGTTAAGGTCTGTCGGGAATAATATTTAGGGATGTCAGAAATGATGTTGAGGAATGTTTGGGTTAATGTTTATGTGTGTCAAGGACGATGTT